CTTAACAAACTTGCCTCACATTTGACACATTAGTCAGGCAAAAGTACACGAAGGATATAAAGTATTTGATACCATCAATGAACATGCTTTAGAGAGGAATATAGAATTCTGTGCTATACAATTAGAATATACATATATATATATTCCTCTCATAGAAGTTATGCAAAAAAGATCATGTTTGTGGCTACAGAGGAAAGATGACCAATAGATTCCAAAACCATTCCTTACTATAATATAATAAAACTAGAAACCAATATTTTGTACCTTTTAATAATCTGTCTTTTAAATAACTCTCAGACAAATTAAATTATAAAAACCAACATTATAGATTATTTAGCCTACATCCTGATTGAAGATTTAAAATGTCAACAAAACTTGGAAGGTCATGGAATACGCTAGAGGACCAGCTGAGAACCAACGGTGTAGTGACAGGCTGGAAAGATGGATCAGAACTAGCAAACGCAAAGTCTAACAGAATTCCATCTGAGCTGTTGCTCTGTGTTAAAAATACCAATGGCAGAAGCATGCAGTGGAGGAGATATGATTCAGTAGTACCATCTTTAAAACAAAAACGATCCCACAGACTACGATTTAGAGACTTTAGTTGATGAATGGGTTCAGCATACGTCAACTGTAATGTGTCTGCCAAGAAAAGTTAATGGGGTTTTAGGCTGTATGGCTAGATATACAGCATCTAGAACGACACAGGCAATAGTCCGCTCTAATCTACACAAATCATACTCATACACTGGGCATTTACTTTGGCACTCCCATAGCTTGAGGAAGGTTATTAGAGCCCATTTAAAGAAGTGTGGAGGGAATTGTAAAGGGACTTAGAAAGAAATCCACGTGAGAGACACAGTTGGAGGAAGTGGGGAGGCTTGACCTGAACCCAAGGCAGCTCTTTGAAGCCTTGATGCTGTTCTGAAATCCATGAAAGGCTTTTATGCAGAAGAAGAGTAAGGTCATGGAAAGACAGATTTCTGTGAGCCGGAATATCCCATCGATGAAATAACTACTTAGAGAAACAGCAAGTTCCCTATCACTGGGGGTATTCTAACCTAGTGTAGCTAAGTACTTGCTATGGTGTTGTTGCAAGAATTTTAACACTAGAAAAACAGGTGGTTAGATCGGACAAAGCTTCCAACTCCGGAATTCTTCAACTCCTATGGTATCTAGTATTCCCTCAAAATGGCCCATGAGCCTCTGAGTTTGGTACCCCAAAATTGTAAATTGAGTTTTTATGGGTTTTTGGCATTAACTTTTTGAGTTCAGGCCCTTTGGGTGACAAAAATGCCTGCGTGTTTGTGACCTAACGGAGACAACACGGATCCAAATGAGACAGTTGTTCAGGACTATTTAAGATTAATTGTTAAATGATCAAATGAAGACATATGCTGTCATCGGAGTTCAGAGGAGGGGTCATGAGGGCTGGAATAGATGACAAAATCTTCACAGAGAAGACTTCAAAGTCTGTTTATGTGCACTAGGCAGTATGAGTGGTTTCAGAAATTGTGGCAACAAGGACGTGTATGATAAGCAAAGATGACCAGTTGTCCCTTTCCCCTGATGGCAGAATGTGGTGAGCCTTGCTGGAACGTGACTCACCGTATGTGCACGTCTGTTTAGTGTCTCTTGCCGTCATTTGCCACCGCTGCCTGCACAGCCACCGTGGGGCTCCCACACACACAGGCTCATGGCTCTGCAGCTCTGGCTCACGCACAGCCTGGGTCTCTAACGGGTTGGTCTGACAGACATTTTTATCGACTGAGCTTTTTCTTCTTCATCTTCCTGGTTGCATAAGGCTTTCCAAACACAGCAGGTCTTTTATCCTTGAAATCAAGACTCTCTTCCCCTTGGGTAGAACTGCCCTTTGGCCTCCACAGCCCATGATTATAATGACAACAGTAAATAATCCCTGACATTTACCGAGGGCTCTGTGGTTCTGACACTTTTTACGTGCACTCTCGTTTGTTTGTTCTTTATGACGGTGTAGGGAGGAACATAGGCAGGCAGCACCCAGGACGTGAGGAGGTCAGAGCACTTACTCAAGGTCACACTGAGCAAAGGAATTGCTTCTGGGATCAGAATGCAAGTCTTCTCATCCCTGCACTGGTCTAGTGACATGACTGGTGTGAACAGGACCTTAATCCTCCCCATTCCTGGGATTAGTGTGTCCTAGCCCAGGCTTGTCAGTCAGTCAAGCCTGGAGAGTCTCACTGCAGGCCAGCTTTGCAAAAGTGTGGTTCCATATGTGACTCTGGTTGGGCCCAGGGTCTCTGATGCCCACCTGGAATCCTAGGGCTTCTTTGCAATGGGTCCAGCCTACGTGAGTGACGGCTAGGAGGAGGTACCCTTCAAAGACTCTATCTTTCTGCCAGTTATTTTTTTAGTGGTTTGTAAAATAACTTAATTCACATATGAGCAAGCTGGTATGTGAGCATAAAAAACAATTCAATCAAATAAAACATAGACCACATTTAATTACATTACAGAATTAATGCCCTGCATGGTTATTAGAAATAAAGGGTAAGCTGTTTAGATGAATAACTTTATATGAATTGCTTTAGCAGAGCCAAATCAATGTTTAAGTTTCTCTCGTCTTACTTTATTAGTTTTACAGTGTTTATGTAGCTGGAATCTCTGTCCAAAGTTTTCCTCGATATCATTTATCATCTAGCATCTGAGTTTCTTCAAACACAGGAAGATAATTCTAGGGACCAAGAGAAAACATGTTGCTTTCTGAAACATCTTTCACACTGTGTCTATTTCTGTCACTGAAGTATTGGGATCAATAGCATGATCCCTTTTCCTTACTTTCCCTCCAAGGTTTTATTTTAATTCTTATGAGTTAGCTCAGAGCAAAAGTAACAATCCCAGACATCTGTCATTTAACAAGAAGAGATTTCTTACTCTTAGCCAAAAAGAGTAAAGGATGCGGGACATATCCATAAAGACAGGGTCCCAGCTTGTGGAAATCTGGGAGGACTGTCATCTCTTGCTGAGCCCACTGTGGGCCATTATTGTACAGTCACTCAAAATCAAGTTTCTGGTTTTGAGGGTACAGCCAAGCAAGGGAACGCCAAGGCTGTGCCCTGCGATGAATGATCCTGACCATGGAGTCTCGCACACTGTTCCTTTGTCTGGGTCAGATTTGTGGTTTCTGTAAAGCTGGAAGGTTGCCAATCAAAATGGCTTCCGTTCATTGTTCACCTGTGCGCATGGTGAAAATGCTCTCCCAACAGGTAGCAAGTGAGAAAGGGGCAGAAATTGGGCTGTGGCAAAGCCTTGGTTAGCAGAGAAGATCTGGTCCTGGATTGGAGGCCCAAGTGGACATGGGAGGTAGGGGTTAAAATGATGGAGGGCTCGGGGGAATAAATAAATGTATTCCCATCCTTTATGTTTTGTTCAGAAATCTTCTAGTACCTCTTAAAACCAGGACAGTTTCCTCAGTTATTGAAGTCTCTTAAAGAAAGGGCACGGTGGGCTTGCCATCATTTAAGTTTAGAAGGGCAGGGGCCAAAATTGTGTGTGTGTGTGTGTGTGTGTGTGTGTGTGTGTGTGTGTGACTCTATGTGTTACATGTTCGCAATAGGCCTCGAGAGCCACATTAGCCTGTTCAAGAGCCTGGAGTTTCCTTAGCACGATGGGGAGAGGTTAGGGAGTAGGGGCCACAGAGAGGTTCTTTCACTGCATGGTCAACAAAAAAGGTATGAAAATGCAATTACCTGGGAATGTTAATAATTTGGAATGATAACTCCCAGTTTCAGTTCAATGCTAAGCAGATTTTTCCTATTTGAATTTGGAGGGGCATTAGAAGGCGGATGTATCATGAGGAGAGAGGGGGAAACAGAAGGGATGACCTGCAAACCTCATCCCCATGGCTGTGTTTGTCTTCATGGCAGAGTGCCTAGGTACTCAATTTCTGGACTGCAGGGCTCTTCAGAGTGGGAAGAGGATGCTGAGAAGGAGAGTGGGGATGAGGACATCTCATTGTCATCTCCATCTTCCAACCAGCCCTGCTTGCTCACGCAGTCTGCCTGTGCCCTGGAGTCTGAGCTAGCACGGGCACTAGACAGTGTGCCCTTTGCTTTTGGTGGGGGCTGTGGGAGCTCTCGTTGTCATCATCACAGAATCTCTTGAGTCTCATGAGAAGCATGGATCACACAAGCTCAAGCATACAGGGAGAATCCTCTGACTGCAGCGTCAGAAGCTCCTGATGTAGACAGGCAGATAGAAAGCGTGCAAACAGGGACAAGATAAACAGGAAACTGGCAATATATAAGACTCATAAAGAGATTTAGACTCAACGAGACAGAAAATTAATAAGGATATCCAGGACTTGAACTCAGATCTGGAGCAAGTAAACTCAATAAATATTTATAGAGCTCTCCATTTTAAATACACAAAATATACATTCTCCACCTTAAATACACAAAATATTGACCAGCCATTATAAATACCCATTTTTAGAATAAAGCTACATTCCCGTTCTCCCTCCCTCTTTTTCTTCCTCTCCTTCACTCCTTTTTTTTTCTTTCTTTCTAAAAAAGAAAAAAAAAAAAGATAAACAGGAAACTGAACGGGAAGGAAACCCACACAATGCAACTTCATGGAGTCTACGAGCGTGGGGATCAGTGGGAACAGGCATGATATGTCTGGCAGAGGCCTGTGGGCTTATGCTGAAATAAAGTAAAATAGAGAGAGATGGTCCAGGGAAGCTTCACCGAGGAACACAGGGATCTTCTAGGAGTGATGGCTGGGGGACGGGAGGAGGAGAGGCCACATGAAACCTACCGGTTGCAGGGGTGGGGCCCATAAGGCCTCTCTGGTCTGCATCTCTTGTTGGCTTAGCTGATCCTGTAGCCTTGACCATCTGGCCCATGCTATCACCCCCATACCCAGGGCTGCAGAGTGGGGGACTGGTGTCTGAGTGCCAAGAGCTGCCACTGTGGGTTAGGGGAACTTCAGTGCAGACTCTCCTTTTGCCACCTCTGTAGGAAAATAGCGGCTTATGATGAAGAAATCCAGCATCTCTATGAGGAGATGGAACAACAAATCAAAAACGAGAAGGAGCAGTTTCTTCTGAAGGTAAAAGTGCACTTCCCAGGCTTGCATATCTGCTCTATCTCCCCCAAGCTCAAGATTATGGTGCCTCCATCCATGCACTATTGATTCCCTCTTCCTCTGCCATATATTTTTTTCAAGGCATTTATCACCTTCACACAGGACATGTAATATCCTTGTTTATTTTCATTGTCTTGTCTGTCTCCTCCTGCTGGCATATAAGTTGCAAAAGAGCAGAGATTTTATCTTTTATTAATTAAGATATCCTTAGCATGAAGACAATGCCTAGAATGTAGTAGGGGCTCAACAAATATTTGTTAAATGAATGGATGGATGGATGAAGGCTCATGCTTTCCCTGTTAAATTTGGTCTGACATTAGCTATTCCTAGATTAACATGGCAGCCCCATCCAAATGCAGCAGCCCAGTTTATCCTATGCCCAGCAGCTCCCCTAAGGGGACAAGCCTTTACCTTTACACACCTGGAAAATTTAATAGCCAAGAAAAACCGAATCCCACCTTCCACAGACACCATGGAGGGAGTGGATAACGCCTTCCCCTCTTCCTGGTATGATTCTTAGCCCTTTACCCAGCCCTGCCATTTGTCTCAAGAGGTCAGGACTGGTGAAATCATCTTCTTCCCAAGGTAAGCAGGATCCTCCTTGGAACATGTTCATAAAACTAAATTGAAAAAGAAAAAAGCTTCAGAGAACTCTCTAGTACCCATTTTTGGATGATCTACTTGGTGGGTTCTCAGCAGAAAAGGCTTTGATCTCGGATGGCAGCTTCCCTCGCCTCTCAGCACTAAGCCTGGCTCTTATCGCAACCCTTTCTCTTGAACCAATTGTAAGTTTCATGCTGCCTCAGATTATCGACATCACTGCTCCATTTATTATCACAGATGTCATTCAGACTGAGAGGGAATCAGAATCCTTTTCATGAAAATCTGGTCATGTCCTCCAACTAGCGCCCTCTGGAGGCTCGTCAGCATTTCCAGGCCTCCTCTGGTCAAGCCTGAAAGCATTCTGCCTGCTCCTGTCCCTCAACCTAGTTGATGGCAGACAGAACTCACACACTTCTCACTAGCAGACCCCAAAATAGCTTCTGAGAACAGCAGCTTCCCACCCCACCTCCCTGCTGTAAGAGAGCCACCCCCTTTATCACAAATGACATAATGCACAGAGAGGCTGAGCTCCATGGGGCATCTTGTCCCCTCTGCCTGGGTCATGATTACAGGTCACAGGTCCTAGCTAAGGAAAAAGACATGATTTCAGAAGCAAATGCTGGGCCAAGGCATGGCGATGGTCTAGGGGAGAGGTCAAAGAAAAAAAATTCAAGGACAAGTTTGTGTCACTCCAGGTGACCCAGCCTCCCATCCCCTTCTGCTCCCTCCTTCTCCTGTCTTGATACAATGCCTTTAAAGCTCAGTGCTTAGATTTATGCCTTCTGTGTGAACATGAAAACTGCTCAGATGTTTTTGCAGCACTATTAAGCCATTAGATACAAAGGCTTTTGCTGGTGATAGATAAGAATAGTGGTGCCACAGTTTCTGACGTCATGGAAAAGGCTGGACCCTCGGACCAGAATCTGGATCCTGGCTTGACACTTACTAGTTTGATCATGAAGGGAGTACCTAATCACTTGCACCTTCCAACCCTCTCAACGCCCTGTCCTGGCCCTTTGTGAGGACACTCTGCAGGCCCATTGTGGGGATGGCCACATCAGCCTGGGGATTCTGGAGCTGCTGGCTGCTCCCAGCATTTTTCATGGAGAGCAGCAGCCAAGCTGAAGGAGGCAGATTCCCTGGGGCTGATTCTCTGGAAACAAATGTTGGGAACAGGTGCTGTCTGGTCAGATAGTTAACATGAGGATAATCACAGGCTGTCCCTGTGGTTCTTCTGCCCATTTACCTGCCTAAAAATGGGCAGAAGAACCTGGTAATATCAATAGAGGATGCAGAAGTGTCCAAAGGCCTCTGGCCCGAGAGGGCCACGTTCCACTGCCGTGCTGCTGCAGGCTGTCATGCCAGGACACCCCTCTAGTGCAGCATCCCATGTGGGAAGGAGTCGTTCCATCTCACAGGAACCCCAGGTGGGGCTCTGGGAGTGAGTTATGTGGCAATTACAATGGCTTCTTCTCTCCTTGCACATTTTGTACCTGCATTCTGCCTTCAGGCAGGTGGAGTGCTGCAGATGGCGTGGGTATTTTTGTTTCTGTTCTGTGAACAAACAGTGATCCAGAAGAATGAAGCAAGTTAGTTGGGTGAAGCTGGGGCTAGAACCCAAGTTGTGTCCCTCCGGGCTCGGGGCCCTTATGCCACAGACCTGGCTGTGCTGAGAGCATCAGGCACCTGACAGCCCACACACTTTCCTCCTCATCCCACAGCCAGGCCCCTTCTCACCTGCTTCAGCCCCTCTGTGTGGGGGAAGCCCAGCCTAGGGAAGGAGCAGGTATTAAAACATCCTGAGGAGCAGGGCCTGGGAGACTTCAACTCCAGTAGGAAAATAGTGAACACTTAGACCCTCAAGAGGAAGAGGTAATGGCCCTGTGTTTCCAGAGTGAAGCCAATTGAAGGCATCCAGCACCAGTGCTCAACCCAACCTGGAACAGAATATCCAAGTTGGAAAGCGTGCGAGGGGTCGTGTGCCTCCTCCAGTCACCCCCAGTTTGCACATGAGGAGACTAAGGCCTGATATTTGAGCTCAGGCCCAGTTATCCCCATTCAGTATTCTACTGCTGGCTGATACTGTCCCTGTTTTTGGTGGAGAGGAGGGTGGCAGCGCACAGTCATCAGACATGGCCACACTTGCTGTGCATTTGGATCACGCCTCACTGTTCGCATGATCTGGTTTATTTGGTCCTCCCTCAGGGGCAGGCAGACTACCAGAGCCCTGTAGTGCTGTGGGAGAAGCCCACAATCTAGTAGGATGGGGCCTGATCTTGAGTAGCTTCAAGGTGGGAAAAATACAATCCATAATCCAGGTGTGCTACATTTGGGTCCCGTGTGTCCCTCTTTCCAACTTGGCAGGACACAGAGAGATTTCAAGCCCGCAGTCAAGAGCTGGAGCAGAAACTGTTACGTAAGGAGCAGGAGCTGGAGCAGCTCACCCAGAAGCAGAAAAGGGTACGTTGCTGCCAGTGGCCTCAGAGCACCTGTCTCTTCACTCCATCCTTTTCTCTGGCTCTTGCCCACTTTCCCTGCCACTCACTTAAGGACTTTTGATTTTTTTTCTTAACCCGAAAAGAACTATTTAGCTGTACAAAAGATTGCATTTAAAATCACAGGTGATACCAAGATAAAGCCTTTACTTCTCCAAAGCCAGGTGTTTAACTTGGAAAAGTTGCCAGGCATTTTCCCACAAGGTATCTGCAGACATGTTCCTATAATTATATCCAGGAGCCACGAGAATGCCAAACTTGAATTTGTTTCCTGCCTCTTGTATAAGAAAAGAGGAGAAAGCTGAGGTACAAGAGACATTGTCTACCACGATATTTTGGGGGAGGCTGCAGATACGTTTTTTCCCTCCAGAATGGCCATGGATACCTCTGCTGGAACAGGCTCTTCCAGGTTGCTGTCTCTTCCCTGGCTGTGCAGTGCCTGGACAGGTTCACTGGCATCCTTTGTGGCTGTTCTGATCCCCATAGGGATGCAGACACCAGATGCTCTCTGATGGACCTGAGTCTCCAGGAGGCAGGCTGGGTGGTGCGCCCTGCAGAGCGGTGTCTCTGTGGCTGGAAATGACTGGCTAATGACCCCAGAAAGACTGACTAGCTAGGCAAGCCTCCTACTTAGTGGCATCCACTTCTTAGCAAGAGCCCCTGAGGGAGACAGACCTGGGTGCCACTGGCCTCCTGTTTTGTTGTGCCTGGTGCTGGAAGGAATCCAGCTCTGGACAGACCCAGACACATTGCTTCCCTTTCAATAGACAAGGCTATTTTTAGCAGCACATTAAAATCTACTTGAAGACAGCCCTGCTAGGACTAGAGACTGTTCCACTGCTGCTGCTACCCAAGCTATGAATTTAGGTCTCTTTCCTTCTGCGGCAAGATGATTTCCACTCTGGGAACTGCCGGCTGCCTCCACATTTCCCTATCCACAGTTGTACCTTGCTTCTCCCACTTCTTCTCTTCCTCTCTATTATACATTAAGCTCCTAGCAATTACATTTATCCCTCAAATGAGTGATTGCCACTCGATTTAATTACTGCATGCTTGCCTGATTACACAGGAGCCTCTTGGGAATCACACCAAATTCCTTGTTGTTACTTCTTCCTCCCCTTACTGGCCACATTCATTAAACTAAATTTATTATGATATATGTACCTTGGTTTGATTCTTCCTCTGGTAAGAGGATTGAAAGCTCTGCAAAGCATAATCACAGCCAAGAAAAGCTGAAGCTATAAAAATGCAGGGCTTTTAGTTGCCTTAGGGACATAGAAAAGGTCTATGTTCTGTTCAACCCATTTTAGTTATTTCCTAAGAATTTTCAGGGCTTCTGGGTACCCTTAAAAGCTTCTCAGATTAATGAAAGTGGAGCTGAGAGGAGAAAAGGGAATGTATAGATTCACTATCAGCATGTGAAATTGGGAAGGATGGTTTTATGAAGCAGGCCATTTAGCTGTTCCCCATCTCCATCAAGGACCAAGGAAAAGAAATTGGCTTAAAAATCAACAAGATGGGGCTGGGCGCAGTGGCTCACGCCTGTAATCCCAGAACTTTGGGAGGCCGAGGTGGGCGGATCACGAGGTCAGGAGTTTGAGACCAGCCTGACCAACCTGGTGAAACCCCGTCTCTACTAAAAATACAAAAATTAGCTGGGCGTGGTGGCACATGCCTATAATCCCAGCTACTCAGGAGGCTGAGGCAGGAGAATTGCCTGAACCTGGGAGGCGGAGGTTGCAGTGAGCCAAGATCATGCCACTGCACTCCAACCAGAGTGAGATTTCATCTCAAAAAAAAAAAAAAAAAGAGTCAACAAGACTGATTTAGGTTTGATCTCAAGGCCATTCACACAGACGGGTTGTGGAAGTTCCTTTGCTAGTGGTCTTTTTGAATAGAGCAGCTCCTCCTGGACTATTAGTGGTCCTGTTTGGAGTCAGGGAAGAGATGGGATGCGCTCTGAAAGCTTATTCCTGCCTAGAGGAGTGTATATGTATGAACTGAGGAGAGGACAATGCTGATTTATGCTTCAGGCCAGTGAGGGGTGGCAGTGACAGTTCCTGCCTGCCAAGTGGGGAAAGCAAGGTGAGGCCAGGACAGGCCTTCTGCAGATGATGGTCACTCCTCATTCCCCTCTGCTCCCCATTCCTTTGCAGCTGGAAGGTCAGTGCACAGCCCTGCATCATGACAAGCATGAGACCAAGGCTGAGAATAACAAGCTGAAACTCACTAACCAGGAGCTGGCCCAGGAGCTGGAGCGGACCTCCCAGGAGCTCCAGGAAGCTCAGCAGCAGCTGGAAAGCCTCCAGCAAGAGGCCTGCAAACTCCACCAGGAGAAGGAGATGTGAGTCCAGCCTTTGTCCACTCCTCTGCTGTCCTCTAGCACCACCCCCTACTATGGGCATGTCCCCTCACCACTCATGTCTCCTTGCCTGTGAAATGTGGATTTGGGCTTCTTCTTCCCTGAGACTCTTCTAACATTCTTCAAGGATTCTGACACTATTAAGTAGACCAGTTCTGTGTCCAGCGTTGCCTAGGATTGACAAGAAATGTACAGTCCTGTTCTCAGAAGATACATTCTGTGATTAGAAAGACATGCTATTCCACAAACAAATATAAGGCAGTCTGTGGGCTGAGTGAGCAGACAGACCCTAGATGACAGTTGTCATGTAGAGACAAGGGGGACCAGAGGGAAGGAGGAAGGCTCCTGGGATCAGCATATAATCTGATGGAGCATGTGTCACTGCCCTGGACTCTCCTCTCCATCTCTGCCCATTTTTTTTCACTATGTTCCTCAGATTCAGCTGTGTGGGCCCAGTGGGGAAAACTCCACTTCTCTTAGGGCCAGACCTGCAAGTGGCATCCAGCCACAAGGGTTCACTTACTAGGCAGAGGCACACCTGCAGCTGGATCAAGCCTGGGTCTGCCGCTTAAGCTGGAGAAGTCCCTGAAGAGTCAATCATTTATCTGGTCTTGGGAGTAGTAGGTTTTAGAACAGATGTACTACTCTGAGGCTCAGGGCAGAGGAATCTCATTTGTTTATTTGTACATTCACTTATCCATATAGTCAATGACTTATTCATTTGGCAAACATTTATTCTGTGCTAGGTACCATGCTGGGCATTCAATGCATCTCACTTCTGTTGATAATTTGGCATCTTCTCATTTATCTCTAAATCATCCTGGTGTGGCAGGTTCTGTTATTACGACCTCTAATTTATTGAGGAGGAAACTGAGGTTCAGAGGTTTAAGTAACTGTCCTAAGTTGCTAAGAGTTAGACTTATCTCTCCAGTTTGCCCTAGAGAACAACAAGCCTGCAGAAAATATTTTAACAGGAGTAGGACTGGCTATCATTTACACACATTTGTTCGTGTACTCTTCATTCATTTATTCTGAAAAACATAATTGTGTGTCTGAAAAATGTAAAAGGTACTAGGTAGCACTGAAAGTCTAATTTCAGGGAAGGGGACTTATTCTGGCAAGCGTTACTTACCAGAACATGTTTTATAGATGGTAACTCCCCTTGTTCAAAAGACTGCTGGCAGGATTTTGGTCCACAGGCCTAAATAAAACTGTTCTGCTGGTTTGACGTGTGGAATCCTGTACCATTTGGCACTAATTGCCTGGTAAAAGGGGTAAAAGGAAGGAGATGTGTTTGGGCTGAAAATTTCACCCTAGTAAGGTATCTCCAGTTAAAAAAAAAACTCCCAGGTAGCTGACTTAAAACAAGCCCCTCCATTCCAATTCTTGGATGACCAATTGTGGAAGGACAGTATATTTCATTGTGAACAAGCAAAATCAGTTCCTCCTCATTGAGAACAGGTCAACAAGGTACAGGCATTTACCTTTACAAACAGAATTAAGGATTCAGGCTGTTAAAATTCAATCAAGCTCTAAAAGCAACAGACATCTGAAGGCACAAGCATTAGAACAGCAAATGGAAATAAACACCCAGTGCTGGAGCATCACATCACAGCATGAGGATTCAAAGCTCTCTGAAGTCTTACCTTAATTAACCAAGCCAGAGACACAATCTCTGGAGGTTGGGAATTGAAAAAAAGGGAGGGAGGGAAGGAGGGTTGGGAAGAAGAGAGAAATATGACTCCAGAACCTTCTCAACTTGTTTTCAAGAAGCTTGCAGTTTCTTGTGCAGCTGGGGGGCATGCCGGGGCCCAGAGAACATGTCCTGTCCAGGGAGGGCAGGAGAGCAGTGCAGTGAGAGGCTTGGCTTGTTCTCCATAGACTGGGGTTGCAGACCGGCAGTTGGAGAGGACTTTGATGCTCTGGTTCACCTCCTTCATTTTATACATGAGGAAACTGAGGCTCAGAGAGGTGTCGTGACCGGCCCAAAGTCACGCAGCTGGTGAGTGCCGGACAGCAGGGACAGAGCCCAGTTCTGACAGTCCTGCGCTTTCTGGCAGGATCTTGCTGCTCCATGCTCCCACAGAGCAGCTGGGAGGGGAAAGGGTGGAGCTGGGAGGTAACCAGGATTAGTCACTGATCAGCAAGAATTCTGAACAGGCAAAATTAATTTTCCTGTTCTCTGAAGATGCTCAAGGTAACAGAAGTAGATTTTAAAATGACATAAAGAAAGAACTATCAAACAGAGAGATCATGTAAAGAAAAAGGTCAGCTGATAAGCAGCGGCGCTCTGTTTATATTTTAATTCGCTTTTATTTGGTAAGTATTTATGACAAGGCACGAAATTCAAAAGGCACAAAAGCTTATATGCTCAAGAAGAAGTCTGTCTCCCTGACGTGGCCCCAGTATGCAGTCATCAGAGCCACTGGTCGTGGTTTCTTGTAGATCCTTTCAGAGTATGCTGTGTATATGCAGGCAGAGACACACCTGTGTGCACACACACGCACACGCACACGCACACACAATTCTCCTTTACAAAACATTAGCATATTAAGCATACTATTCTGCATATGCATTGCAGTTTTCACTCGACAGTGTGTCTTGTGAAGTGCTCCAGAGCTCATCCCTCCCCTAAAACAAGTTCAGCAGCAGTTCCCTAAGGGGAGCCAGGAACGTCTCACCAATTACCACTCCACGACCACAGGTTCTTTCCCTTTCAGTTTAAATATTACCCATGTAGAGACTTTTAGAACCTCTAGGTTAGAAGGACTTTAGAGGTCATTTAGTCAAATATCTAAGTGCCTTTTTTTTTCAGAAATCCCTTTTTGTTGACACAAAAATATATTTCTGAATATGTGTGTATATCTGTATGTACAAATATCTAAGCAGATATATGTTTACTAGACAAATAGATACAGTACATGTATTCACATGTATTTGTAATACATACCCAGGGTGGTATGCGGGAGCCCTAAAAGCACAGCACCAGGGTCTTCAGCTCCAGGGCCTGGAGTCAGGCCCTGGCAGCTCTGCTCACAGAGCACTCATCAGAGCACAGTCCCAGACAGGGGCTTGCAGACCCAGTTTGGGTAGTGGGAAATACATTATTTCCCTTCAGGTTGAAATTAAATATAATTCGTAGTAAAATGTCAGGAATTTGCGTCTCTGCAGGAGCCAGAAAAGGTTTCTCGCTTGATTAGAATTGTCTGAGTTGGACTTAGAATTCCATTCAGCCTGGTATTGCTGTGAATTGACTTTACAATTATTCTATAAAGTGGGGGGGAAAAACAGTGTGCTTAAGGAATCAGGTTATCAGGAGCTTGGCAGGAGAGTCCTGTGGACCAGCATGTTGGCGCTGTTTCTGCCAGCTCCGTAATGATATTGCTGGGGTGGCAGAGGGGTCTTGTCCAGCACGGTGTGTATACAGCCTGGCATCCCTGACAGCCCACGGAAAGTGACACCTCTATCAGCGTGCAGGGTGTTCCCTCCACAAAAGTCAGTGCTGCAGTGTGGAAATGTGGACCCTTGTAGTAAGATCAGAGGGTGATTAAGAAATGTCTAAAGCATGGTATAGAACACGAAGGGAAAATGAAGACAGAATTGTGAAGCTAAGCCAGCTTCCCAATGTGACCCAATTTCTTATTTTTTTCCTTTCCTTGCTTCCCTGAGTGATACTGAAGACTTCCCCAATTACACCTTCATTCTTACCTTCCTTCCTTCCTTCCCTTCCCTTCCTTCCTTCCTTCCTTCCCTTCCTTCCTTCCTTCTTTCCTTCATCTCTTCCTCCTTCCTTTCCTTCCTTCCTTCTTTCCTTCATCTCTTCCTCCTTCCTTTCCTCCCTTCCTTCTTTCCTTCCCTTCCTTCCCCTCCCTTCCCTTCCCTCCTTCCTTCTTTCCTTCATCTCTTCCTCTTTCCTTCCCTTCCTTCCCCTCCCTTCCCATCCCTTCCCTCCTTCCTTCTTTCCTTCATCTTTTCCTCCTTCCTTTCCTTCCCTCCTTTCCTTCCTTCCCTTTCTTCCCCTCCCTTCCCTTTCCTTCCCTCCTTCTTCCTTCCTTCTTTCCTTCATGTCTTCCTCCTTCCTTTCCTTCCTTCCCTTCCTTCCCCTGTCTTCCCTTCCCTTCCCTCCCCTGTCTTCCCTTCCCTTCCCTCCTTCCTTCTTCCTTCCTTCCTTTTTTCCTTCATCTCTTCCTCCTTCTTTTCTTTTCCTCCTTCTTTGCTCCCGCACCTCTTCTACTCTGTCTCTCTTTTCTTTCCTTCTACAACTATTTCCTGATTACACCTCCATGCCAGGCACCATGTCGAGGACATGAGTGTAAACAAACCAGGCACAGCCCTTACGTCCCCTCTGAGTTGCCTCCTAATTGCCCTGGGTCGCAGCCTTCTTGCTTCTCTCTCCCCTTCCTCACAACTCCTGCTAGAATGACCATGTTTGCACAGTGAGGAAATGATTATAATAGATGCATTCAATCTCTGCATTACAGCTGGATCATAAGTCAGAGAAATGGATGCCCAGCAGTGGAAAGCCCAGATGTCTGGGGACTTCGGGAGGAAGGTGGGAAAGGGGAGGTGACTCTTCCTGAGCTCCTAAAAACATACTCAGCCAGCCTCTGGGTGGGGCAGGAATGGGAGGGAAGGTAATACACATTCTGCTCTTACCCTTCAAGATCTGGCTGGAGAAGAATATGGATTCTAACTCCCTGAAGTCTAGATAGGACAGGGCAGTTTGGTGTCTGGACAAACTGTGTAGTGATCATCCAGCTTATTCACAGGTGGCATGTGAAATGGCCGTGGAATGAGCTGGGTCTGGGGTAGGAGGAGACCCTGGTTTAGTCACGGATTGTCTGTGTAAACCGGAAAGACTTAGCAGACTTCTCTGATGGTCACAGTCTATAAAATGGGGATAAGTTCACCTCCTAAGTTGGGGATGTGTGATGACAAACTGAGATCATGGTCCAAAGCACTTGCCTACCATAGGAGCTCTCCAGAAGGCCGCGTTCCTCCAGTGCCCTCTGTGCCCAGCATGGCATAGCCCGCCCCGCCGGTCTCCAGCATGAGGGGTCCAGGCATCCGGCTTCCACCAGAAGCTCACCGCAGTGTGTTTGTCTCTCCCAGGGAAGTGTACCGCGTGACGGAGAGTCTACAGCGCGAGAAGGCCGGGCTCCTCAAGCAGCTGGATTTCCTGAGGTGTGTCGGTGGGCACTGGCATGTGCTGAGAGCACCTCCCAGAAGCCCAGGGTGGGAAGCACCAGTCTGAGGGTGTCATTCTTGCCTATGTGTTGGAAACATGCTGCTGAATGAACACCCTCATTCCCTTGGTCCCCATCGCAGCGTTTGGACCACTGAGTAGCCATCCTGTTATGTTTGATCCATTTACACGCATGCCCACATCCCTCTCCAGTTTATTCTTCCTGATCGGGGGGCTCTACCCGACTCTTCTGAGCCCCTCACAGGACTGTGTGTGGTACGTCCTCACATGGGAGCGGAGCTGGGTTCACTGAGCCTCTACTCTATGCCAGGAATATTATCTCTTTCATCTCAGCAAAGCTGTTGGGTAAGTAGGGCGCTTAATTCACAGGAATTAACTGATGGGAAGTTGATAGCAGAGGAATGAAGTGATTTCCCACAAGCGCAGCTACTCACTGACAGAGCCAGAATGGAAATCCGTAACTTGGCCACGTTCTGTTCATGTTTGTGGGATGAGTATATGAATTGCAAACAGAGCACCAAGAAAAAGCTTTCTCAGCCTTCAAAGACCCCAGTGATACATTCAAAGTTTACTGGTCTGGAATGTGCACCACCCTCCCCTCCTCAAAGAAACAATCCTGTGTGGGGAAGGATGGAATGTTTGATGTTGCCCATGGTCACTGCCTGCTGAGCACCTCTCGGTGAGGAAACAGAAGGACTTTGGGTTCTGATTTCCGAAGTGCGAGTGGTTTCGAATCACTTCCCAGTTATGTTGCGAAGGTTTTTGTTTTTGTGGGAGCAAGGGTAGCTCGTTGTGCCTGGCATCTATGGTGCTACCCAGTGGAAACGTGCTTCAACCTGAATGCATTTCCGATTGTGCTCAATACGTGATTCTGTCAGGCTTCCAGAGCCAGGGGATGTGCAAAGGGGTTTTCAGGTGGCCCAGTTATAATCCATTTGTGAGAAGGTCTTGATCTTAGGAAGGCTTTAATAAAAGGAAGAGAACAAAATGTATACAGACAAATTTTGGAGTCTTTTTTTCTATTGCATTCAGAAAATATAAAAGGGTATATTCAAAGAGAATGAGCAGGGAAGAATGACAAGGCAGCTCTCTACAAATACTTGGGGGTCTTTTGAATGGAGACTAGCATTTGTGCAGAATCACAGAAGGCCTGAGGCCTTTCTGTGCCATCGATCCGGGGTTACCGAGCTTACGCCCCACTGGCTAATGAAAGCTGAGAGGTGGAGCGAAGGCCCAGGAAACCACTGGGATTCAAGGGAGAGAGAATGCTGAGATGGGGCTGGGGGACAGCGGGAATGTGGAGGGAGGGCAGCAGTGGGACTGCGGTGGAATCAGGACAACAGCTGGGGTGTGACGGGATGAGAAGGGCTGCCATCTGAAGGACAATGGGTGCAAAAGCGAGCGATTTCAGGGCACTTGATTAGGAACGTGTGCTTTGAAGCTGGATCTGATTGAAGACCCAGCACCTCCTCTCATTAGCTTGTGTGACCTTGGGCAGTTGACTTATTTTCTCATGCCTGGCTTACAGGCTGCTTTTGACAATTAGGTGATGTATGTGAGTAGCAATCACAGTAGAGCAGTGATGTGAACCAGAGCAGAGAAGTTTCTTTAAATACCGAGGCTTCTGCATGGAGAGGACCACACAAAGCAGCAAACAACACAGCATGCTTTCCAAAAACAGGTGGGACTGACTTTGGTCTCCTAAGGTCCTCGCTCAGGTGCAGGGGTGCTAACTCACAGCTCTGCGAGGAGTGAGGGTGCCTCTGGCATGAGCAGCTCACTCTGCCATTCTCAGGGTTTATAAAATAACCTCCATGTCCCTCCTGACTTGCTCTGGAGGCCCTGGCTGCATGCCTACCTGCTCACCTCATGCAGGTAACTGAAAAGAATGCTGGCACATTCCTATTGTTTTCTGCAACACTGGGGGAATTGGAAGTCAGTTGCCCAGGTTGTGACGCCTCAGGCCCAACCTAAACTCATTCTGTAGTCTACACCACACTTAGCAGAGCGCCTGGCCCATAGTAAGTGCCCATAAATGGCTGCATTGTGATGATTAGGACCTAACCATGGCTGTGCCCTCCCTTCCCCTTCCAAATTGTGGGTGTGTTCAGAGGCCGCTGGCCGGAAGAGTCATGGAATCACACACCTGCTAAGGACTTGGAGGGCATCTGGCCCTCCCTCTCCACGTCTTGTGTTAATGGATGAAATTCCCAGCTGTGAACCTCAAGTGCATTCCACAGTCGCACTGCAGACCCAGTCAACTCACTTTCCCAACTGCTCCTACTTTAAGTCCTGGAAAAAAGACTCCTCTTTTTCCATCCTCATGCTTTCTCCTGTTTCACAGCTGGAACCATTAGATAAGAGCTTCCTCCTGTGCTCACATCTCTGCCTCCTCTTTATGATGGATGCACTCCCCATGCTCATCACAGAGGCCACCCCCACCCCCGCGCCCAACTCACCCTCTAGAATTAGAGCCTGTCCCTTCCTGCCCCTCAAGGATTATCCCAGCATGTGTTCTTTCTCTCCTCCATTGTCCTTTTATCTCTTTTGAAGATACCTACAGATAGACTCGAATATTTCTTGTCTGACATGTCTTGTCTTCGCATCCCCACCCATCTGCTTGCCAGTTCTTCAATCCCTTTACAACAAAACTTTCAGAAGAGTTGCTCACATACACTCTCTCCACTTCTTTTCACCTTTTCTTCACATTCTCAACCCAACAGTCAGGTCTTCCCTACTCCCCCCTCCTCAGAAACAGTTCTTGCCCAGGTTGCCAATGACCTCCATGTTGCAAAAAATATTCATCAAGTGTCAGGGCCCCACCCTTGCCCCCAGCAGCCTATTCTTAGCACCACGTCCAGAGGGATCCTTTGAAAACTGGAGCCAGGTCATGACGCTCCTTTGTCATCTGCTTCACCACCGACCACCCCCGCCCCCCGCCCCCTTGGCTTCATATCTCGTTTGGAGTAAAACTCAAAGTTCAGGGCAGGGCGTGGTGGCTCACGCCTGTAATCCAAGCACTTCAGAGGCCAAGGCAGGAGGATCACCTGAGGTTAGGAGTTCAAGACCAGCCTGACCAACATGGTGAAACCCTGTCTTTAAAAAAAAAAAAAAAAAACGAAGTTCATACAGTGGCCCACAAGGCTGTGAAGAGATAGGTCTCAACCACCATCCACTTTTTCTCTGACTTCATCTCCTACCTACTCTCCCTTTGGGCACTCTACTTCCTCCGAGCTGTTTCTTGCTCACGCTAGGCACATCCCAGCACAAGGCTTTCCTGTAGCCTCTCCTCTGCCTGGGATGCTTCTCCCTTTCCTTCAAGGCTCTGCGCAAATGCTGTCTTATCAGTGAGGCACTGACCTCTGTAGTTAAAATACAGCTCCACCCTCTGGCTTCTTTTATTCCACTTACCTGCTTTATTTACTCAATAACAATTATCCCTTCACTAAAATACAAGTTCTGTGAGGCAGGAACTTTTTGTGTTGGTCATTGGTGTGACCTTGATGGCTAAAAGAGTGCCTGGCATGCAGTGGGTGCTCAGGAGACATTTGAGTGAATCTGTGCATGCATGAATAAATGGTGCACAGAGAGAAAGAAAAACTGAGCCCAGCAGGAAGCTCCCAGGCAGAGCTGGCATGCTGGGGTTGCCCTCTGTAGGTGGTGCCCCTGATAACAGGAGAGGCCATGCATAATCCTGATGGGTCACTGGTGTCTCAGTCTAACCCTGCGTCTGAGTGTACCTATCTGTACACACAAACTATCCCCTACCATTAATTACATCTCCAAGGAAGGAAATTCCACCAACTCCCTGGTCTTCCACACCATGCCTTCCCTTGCATCCATCTGAGTAGTGAATTGGCTGCCATCAGAACTGTCAGCTACAAACTCCTTGTTTAAATAGATTCCCCTTTACCATCCACAGGGAAAGGAACAAGCACCTTCGGGATGAACGGGACATATGTTTTCAGGTAACTGGCCAGTTCTCCCTTACCTGTGGGGGACCAAGGACTGTGGTCCACGGGACAGCCAGATCTATGTTGAGACTGGCCCAGCAATGTCCTGACAGTTGGGATCTATTTGGCAGGATGATGGCATAAAAACGTTTGCCAATAATAAAAACTCAGGGTGGCCTCCTGGGTAACAGTGTGTTGATTTTCTGCAAAGTAATGCAGTTTCCTTTTGGCACAACAAGACTAAAATATTTGGGAGGGTCGCACATTTCTTGGATGCAGAAATGATAGTTCTATCCATGAGATGGCGCAGTTGAAATGTCATTATCACTTCTAAACCAAAATGCTCACAGCTTTCTTCTTCATTTAAATTTTTATCTCGATGACAGTTTTGCATTTTAACTGTCATAGAAGATATTAGAGATGTGCATTTCACTATTTTCATACTTGATTTTGTGAACAACTTTTCTCTACCCTATAGGGACCCCTACTCTTCCATACCTGAGTACCATGTCTCTCTGTCTCTCTCCCTCCGTATGTATATATACATATATAGATACACACACACGTGCATATATATACACACACATATGTATGTAGTGCATGTATAGTGTGTATACACACACACACTTTCCTAAATGGCATGAAATCCTATGTTTATTTAAAGGTCTTCCCTGTGGACCACATTGGCCAGAACCTAGGATTCATTCCATGCTCTTACTCATCTTCCCCTTTAGACAGGAGCCACTGGGTGCTCTGAAGGGGAGGAAAATGGAGGCCACATTGATTGATGTGACTTCTAATTATCAGGATTACCATCCTATGAATTTTATGTGTGTCCCTGAGCAAATCATTTACCACCATGGATCATGACCCGCTGTCACATGTGGAAAGTGAATTCCCATCTCCCCTCCATATCATAGGAATCTTTGAGAAAGATTCTTGGAAAGGGATGATAGAAATTGGACCCTTAGTTGAACAGTGACCTAGATATGGCCAGCAGAAGGCAGCTGGTTTGCCCTAAATTACATCTGACCTGCTTTATAATTGCAAATCCCTGGGGGACTGCATTACACCACAGTTTCTTTTCCGTCACTGACTGGTAGCAAACATGTCTGCCACCCACTTATGTGTACTATTAGAGCAAGACTTATGTCTAGACATGTTTGTTTGATGATGATAATGGTCGTAATTGTTTTAGAAGTAACACTGAATTCATTTAAAAACTTCCAACCAAATGTCACTCTAATTCCTTTACCCTTCCCTTTACCTGCCTAACTCATGCTGCTTTGAAAGGAGCGTGGAATTAAGAACTCCAGTGGGGAATCAAAGAAAGAGGGACAAATTGAATAATAATTGAAGATTAATTTGGAATCAGCATAGCCATCCTTCGGGGGCTCTGGGAGCACTGCAACTCCTCCTCTCATTAAGGATCATTGGGAATCATGGGATGGCTGATTAACGAGATTTTTCCTGTGAGCTAACTCCCCCGCCTCATCTCCTAGAAGACATCTGTCAGGGAACACAGAGGCAAAGGGGGTTGTAAGCCCCTGCTCCACCCAGGTTCTGTGTTGCAGATGTTTGAGTCATTTATCTACACCTACTTCCACCAAAGATCTGAACTATCTTATGCTAGCTCAGAAGCTATGGGCAGAACACGGAGTTAATTTATCCTCCTGGCTAGTTACTTTCTCATTACATCTGAGGCTTTAGAAATAAAAAAGGTTTGGAGCCATACAGAAGAGTGTGAATAAAGAGTCACAGAGTTGTTTTTTTGACGCCTGAAAATATTTTCTCTATAATTTTATGCCTGCAAATATTTTTTCTTTTTTCTTTTTGTCTGATCAGGTGTGGTGGCTCACTCCTGTGATCCCAACACTTTGGGAGAGTGAGACGGGAGGATCACTTAAGGCCAGGAATTCAAGACCAGTCTGAGGAACGTAGCAAGATTCCATCTCCACAAAAGTTGAGAAAATTAGCCAGATGTGGTAGGGTGCCTATAGTCCTAGCTACCCAGGAGGCTGACGCTAGAGGATTGCTTGAGTGCAGGAGTTTGAGGCTATAGTGCGCTGTGATCATGCCATTTCACTCTGACCTGGGAGACAGAGCAGGACCCTGTTTCAAAAATATGGATATATTTTTTCAGAAGAGATAAATGTTTTATGGGTATTTTATATATGCTTTAGACATATGTATGGAAAATATGCATCAACACTTATCTCTTCTTCTTTTTCCTTTTACAAATTATCAGTACTCCTGTGAAGAATAAAATGATGGACGCCAGGCTCTAAACTGTGTATTTGTTCATTGATTAGATAACTAGAAGGGAGATGGAGGGATTCTGGTGAAGGAGGGGTGATGGCAAAAGGGAAGAGTAGGTAAATGCTAAGTGGGGGACCAGAACACTGCTTACTTCCTTCAGAGTTCTGTGCAGAGCCTGGGCTGTGAGGTGGGAACCATGAGTCCTTTTCTGTTCAAACATCAGGGCAAATAGGCATGGATCTGAGGGCATTTTGTGTTTCCACAGAAAGACAAGGCAGCCAAGGCAAACACGGCTGCTTCCAAGGCAAGCTGGAAAAGAAGATCTGGCTCTGTGATAGGCAAATATGTGGATGCCAGAGGGATTCTTAGGAGGTAAGTCATCTTCACTTGCTCACCCCTTCATTCTTCTTGCGCTCATTGGGAGCTGGCTCTGCGCCCACGCTCAGTGCCTGCTGCCCCCTTGAGAGGTGGCCCTGATGAGGAAACTGAGGTCAGCTGCTCTCACTCCCTTCAAACACATGACCCTCCCTCTTCTGACATCCAAGCCAGAAGAGTAAACCCCCTAGGACAGACCATTGTCTTCTGAGACTGCCCCACCCTATTGTGTGTCTGCAGAGAGGGGCTGCAGAGCAGCAGAGGAGAGGAGTCCCCTTCGCTCCTTGCTGTAGCTGATGACACTCTGTTGCCTGCTGAGCAGAATGGATGCACTTGGTATTTTAGGGACATAACTATATTGGCTGTGAAGGTTAATTAAAGTGTCAAGTAGAATCTCCAATAGTTAGCTCCTTTACAGACAAGATTAGGGCAATGACTTAGATTTAATTCACTCTAACATAACACATTTTTTTGCTCTTGGACAGTACATGATTGAGCTTGAACACCCAAGGGTAGGCTCATGGCTCATTCAGAGACGAGACAAACCGGTCTCTCCTGCCCACTCTTCATTTTGGCCTGTGCTGTGTCCACATAGATGGCCACAGAGAGACAGAGGCATCCTGACCCTTCAGCGTCAGACCCAGAGAGACCTTGAAGACGGCAAGCGTGAAGTTAAGAGATATGCAAAGCAGATGTGGCTCTGGAGATGTAAATCAGCTCATCAGTAAAACCTCTGGGCCTGATCATCGTGCATTCCTCTTCTAAATAGCTGGATAATGAGATACAGTTTGAGAGCCAAATTTCTGCAAATAGCGGTTGGCCTGTTGATTCCTCAGAACTGAATGGATTGATTGATAGATTCAACAGACATTGACTGATTACCTACTCTGTACCAGACATTCTTTTGAGTTCTGTAAAGGCTCCAAAGATAAATTATACATAGGTTCTACCATTAATATCCATTATTAAATGCTCACTTAATCAATATTTATTGAGTGTCTACTATGTGTGAGGTGCTGTGCTATTTGCTGGATATACGGTAGTGAGCAAAATAGACCTACCTCTGTCTCATCGAATTTCTGGTTGAGTGGAAGAAGCGGGTAATAATCAAGTAAGCAATAAATGGTGAGCCCTGAATTCTAACAGACTTTGCCAAAAGAAACTGCTGTCCCTACGGATGGCAGAGAGCACTTGGTGGCAAAAGCAGAAAGGAACTCAGTCATGCTACGACGCAGGTAGCGCAGAATGGCAGTAGTGCTTGAGAATTTCCCGGATAAAAAAGCCTTTTCCAAGAAATGCTTTGTTTTAAGACCTGTTTAAGTGGCTATTTCTTTTCTGGTTGCAAAGCCTTTCTCTGTCTCTCTCTCTGTGTGTGTGTGTGTGTGTCTGTGCACATAGTTGCTCATGTGTACACACAAATATTCACTTCTGTGTGTATAAGCAGAGTAAAATTAGATGGGAGTGCCAATTGTGTTCTAAAACAGATAAGCATGTAAGAGGCTTGATATGATATATAGGAAGTGTGCTGGAAAGAAGACATTTGTTAAGGTCCTCCCTGTCAAACATCCTTTAAGACAATTTCTGTGAGGCCTTTGCTCTCAAAACCTGAAAATACAGACTCTGCATTGACCCCACATCCCATTGCCCGATTCCCTGCCCCGCCTATAGCTTCTCCTTGCCCTTAGTGCTCAAATGCTTCTAGAAGCAAGTGTGCACTTAGGCCTCAGAGGCCACTTACTCCTGATTCTGGCTTCCATGGATACAGAAAGAGGAAGAGAAAGGGAGAGGAAGGAGAGGTGGATGAAGATGCTCTGCCTGGCTTTCTTCTGACCCAAAGCCTCTTGTCTAGGAGGCAGCTGCCTGTGAGCCAGCAGACCTGCTGTGTCCGGAGGTGGGGCCCCTCCCAAAGCAACAGCGCCCTTCACATGTTGAGGATGTTTTACAGGCACGTCTGTTTTTATGCACTGTCTTGTCTGTGAATAGACAGAGCAGACAGGCCACAGTTTATAGCAAGGCCTGAAGAGTTGAAGTGTCTCACCTTGGGACACACAGTTAATAAGGGCTGGCGCTGGGAGCAGAGCAAAGGCCACCTGAGAATGTTCATCCGGGGTGTTTTATATCTGAGCCTGAGACTTTTTCTTCTCAACCTGTCCTTCTCCTTCATAGCAGTCTCACAATTTGTAAATGATGTATCTATTTGTGCCATTATTGCTTTAATCCCCCACTAAGCCCAGCCTTCCATGAGGACAGGGGCTGTGTCCACCTGTAAATGGCATCTTAATACCTGCTCATCATCATCATCGTCACCTCTGTCGTCATCTGCCTCAGCAGTGGCAGCAGGCACCGAGTGGAGGCTGTTGAATGAGTGAGCTGTGGAATCCTGGCTCATTTGTTTTGCCCTTTCCTGGGGCGCTCTTCTCCAAAGGTGTGACTCTCCTTGGTTATCGGTTTGTCACAAAAGCTGTCATGCAGTCCATATTGAAATACTTTGTGAAATCCTTCCAACTCTTCTCTCTTCCTGCCCCAATAGCCAGTCAGAGGAGGAGGAGGAGGTGTTTGGCATCCCAAGGAGATGCTCCCTGGGCCTGAGTGGATATCCTCTAACAGAAGAGGAACCAGGAACCGGGGAGACAGGGCCTGGGGGTCCATACCCCCGGCCACTCCGCAGAATCATCTCCATTGAAGAAGACCCCCTGCCCCAGCTCCTGGATGGCAACTTTGAGCAACCCCTGAGCAAATGCCCAGAAGAGGAAGAGGTCTCTGACCAGAGGGTACAGGGAAAAATCCAGGAGGCCCTTCCCTTGAAACTCACCCCCACATCTCCCCGAGGGCAGCCTGTTGGAAAAGAAGCCCGGTATAAGGTAAGGGCACATCCTACATTGGTTCGTGGACATCACTCCTATGATCTGTCTTTTGCATTTGAGGTCAAGAGCCTGGAGACGCAGCTCAGAGGGTCGGATGCTGCAGGTCTTGCGATTCAACACATTGTATCCTCCAGATACCACCTCCCCCTGCTTAGCTGAGTGTCATGAGGGGAGACTCAGGGGTCCTGATAAATTCTTCTTAAACTTCTGTTGTTTGCCCCATTCCCGACCCTGTGCTCTCTCTTCTGATTCAGATTCAGAAGCATTAAGCCCCTACTAGGCTCCCAGCATCCAATTTCATGCACTTTTAAAGTCGCGTGCCATGTGACTGCTCTTAGCAGAGCCAGTGTCTGTTTAGGAAACTCTGCATACCATCATTGTTCTCTTGGTTCTCAATCAGCTAACCGCACCTTCATTCCAAAATTTCCTGCCTACTCCTCCCTTCAGTGCCCCTGCACTTCCCACCAGGTCTTCCTACTAAATTCTGTAGGAAAAAGTCTTTGCCTCGTTTGAGACCCAGGCCTCGGAATAGGCTCCTCGAGCCCCCGTCCTGCACTCAGCCTTCTGAAACAGCTTTAGAGCCATCCACAATAGTGTGAAAAAGAGGCTCCTCCATGCACGCTGCGACAGCCATTGAGAACTGAGCCTTTGCCACCTTGAACTTTCCCCAGCGGCTGCATTAGGGTGTGTGCTACCTGATGGACTTTGCGGCATAGGTTACCATTCTCAGGCCAGGATTAACACTCGTGCCCACATATCACTCCTCAAAGGCCCTGGCGCAAGGGGAGAGTGGAGAGCTGCGTGGCAGTGATGTGGGGTTCCCCTCCCTCTTGCATACCCTTCCACATCCCCTTCAATGCAAGACCTATACTTGCTGGCAATGGGTACAAATGGGGTCTTATGTAACTCCAACATGTCTCCCTAAAATGTGAAAGAAGTGTCCAGAGGTCAGTAGGAAAGGGGGGTAAAGAAAAAGGCTCAAGCATCCACAGCTGCTGTGGCATTTTATCCTCACCGCCATCTGATGAGTCGGGCCAGAAATTTATTCTCCCCCTTGATGGATGGGAAAGTTGGAGCTCAGAGGAAGAGGTCAGCCCCACCGTGATGGGGAGCCCAGCCCTCCTCACCAAGCCCTCTCACTTCTGTGCCTGCTCCACGAGGTCCTGCTGCCATTTTGCGGGGAATAGAAACAGCAGCAGGGAGGAAGTATGAGTTACTAGCAGCCATGTAACAGCTCTGGCAGGAGAGGGTATGCTCGTTTGAGAGCCACTGCAAGGCAGGCCCTCCCGTCCAAGGCTGGTGAGGTGTAAATGGGTACAACCCTTCTGAAAGCCATTCGGTAATATGAATCAAGAACTTCAAAATACTATATCCTTTGAACCAGCACTTTTACCGCTGGCAATTTTCCTAAGGAAATAACCAAAATCAGACAAAGATTTAACTCAAGAATGCCAGTTATTTATAATAGCAAACAGGTGAATAAAACGTCATAGGGACATAAAGCAGCAGCTGCTAAAATATTTTCAAAAATCTTTAGTGACTAAAAAATATTTATAATTTAACAGTAGATGATAAAGTAGAATAAAAGTTTGTATATATTTATCTCAAATCTCTGTAAATAAAACAAAGATGATATAGAAACAAAGCTGGAAGGAATGCATCAAGTTGTGAATTGTGGGCCAGGCCTGGTGGCTCACACCTGTAATCTGAGCAATTTGGGAGGCCATGGTGGGAGGATAGCTTGACGGCCAGCATTTCAAAACCAGCCTAAGCAGCATAGTAAGATCCCATCTTTACAAAGAATAAGAAAATTAGCCAGGCATGGTGGTGCATGCCTGTAGTTCTAGTGACTCCAGGGTCTGAGGCAGGAGGCTTGAGTCCGGGAGTTCAAGGCAGCAGTGAGCTGTGATTGCCTCACTGCCCTCCAGACTGGGCAACAGAATGTGACCCTCTCTCTTAAAAAATAAAAAGATATGAATAGTGACCATTGCAGGATGGTAGGGTAGATTATGAAGAATTAATTTCCTCTCTACTTTTGTGTATATCATGATGGTAAAAATTAGCATATATTTTATTTCTTAAAGGCTTATTTTTAAATTAAAAAGCATGAAGGGAGGGGGAATGAGAAGACTTGCCAGCCAGGTACTCCTCCAGCCCCCTCCCTGCAATCCAGCCATCTCATTGCCCTGTGGCAAGTGGCCTGTCCCCCAGAGGGGACAGCAGGTTAAGTGCATGAACATACCTGAGAGTTCACTGCTCCTGTGAGGTGAGTCCTGTCTGACACTGAGCCTTTGATGTGTTTTGTTTGCGGGCTTTTGCCTGCAAAATAAAAGTGCTCTGCCTGGGGAAGGGCAGGGGCCACAGGGCTAAGGATCAGGCCAAACCTCTGGAGCAGGACGATTTCCTGCCATTTGGGGTTTCACCTTCCCTCCCCTGTACTGTGCTTGGGTGTATTAGATTGAGGCACTGAGTTTTAGTCTCAAATAACAATTAAAAGTAAAGGGACCAGCAGAGTCAGTGCCCTCGTGCATTGCATGAATAAAGAAAATGGGGCAGTGGGCATAGTTTTTGAGTGCAGGTTGGTTGTTATTTTTTTTTAACTTTTAGTTTAAATTTTTATAACCGACCTTGAATTATCTCCTGAATACTGCCTGGAATTGATTTCTCTCCAGAAGGCAGCTAATGGCTTTTTATCTGAAACTCAAGTACTGCTAATACAGCAGCCACTACATTATAGCATTTGCTCAATGAGAGGAGCTAATTCCTCCAAATTCACTTTTAAATAGAATCAAAAGAGCCTTCTCCTGTGACCCGGCAACGCTGAGCAGGGCCTGAAGGCAAGATTCCTGTGGTTGAGCGGCAGCCCCCTGGAATGAATGATCATTCCTCCGAAGGACACTGTGGTGGAAGATGGCTCCTTACTCTACCTCCTACTTGCTTTGTGTCCTAGAGCAAGTTCATTCCCGTCTGGGCTTTTGTAACCCAGCCCTTTCCTTCTGCTGGGTCCAAGAGACAGGGCAGCAGTGACTGGCTGACGCTGGGAAGCTTTGCCCGGCCACCTTTTCCCAACTTCCTGAGTGGAGACCCTTGTGCCCCTGTTACCCAAGGAAGATGGCAGTGCCTTGATGGGAGCTGATAAGATGGACAGAGAGTGATCTGCAGGGAGGCAAGAGTGTCCTCCATTTAGCCCAGGCTCCCAAGGATAGGGCAGAAATAAGGAACTCCCTATCCCAACCTGGGACACCTATGATCCTGTGATGCGAATAAGCCTTCTTTCATCCTTCTCTCCTTCTCCCTGCAAAAGCCCCACCTTGTCCTCCCCTACAGAGAGAATTCCTGCCTCCTTTTGAAGTCCGCTCTCAGATCTGCTCACTTGGAGCACCGAGCTATCCTTATCTGTGACCATGCTGCCTCCTCCACCCCACCAGAATCCAGGGTCTGCCTCTGCCTCCCTGACCACAGGAGGTGGCCAGCAAATGTCGCATGGGAGGCTGTTTCTCCTCCCTCCTGCGGTTGCTGGAAAGAGCCTCCATGCCCCGAGACCAACTATGCTCACTGCATTCTGAGGCTGTGGCAACTTCCCTGGTGCGGGTCTGGAGGCTGGTCTGTACCCCCTGAGGGCCACTGCAGTGATGGGTGAAGAGCCACTGGTGGCTGTGGCAGGGGCTGGCTAGACTATGCCCTGCAGTTGGTCAGACTGTGTACTGTCCACAGGAGGAAAGCGCTCCCTCTGCCCCTGACCGGCTCTTCAAGATTGTGTTTGTGGGCAATTCTGCGGTGGGGAAGACATCCTTCCTGAAGAGGCTCTGTGAGGACCGGTTCTCCCCAGGCATAGCGGCCACTGTGGGTGAGTTCTCAGCCCTGCAGTGGGTCCTCGGCCCATCCCTGGGATGGGAAGTTTGTGAAAAGGGGGCCTGGGGCAGGGGGCCTCTAATGCTCATGGGAGGGGCTGTGGGGATTGGCTGGTGGGGATGCTGGAGTCTGCTCTGTTCAACAGACAGGCTGGGAGGGGCAAGATAAAGCCATCTCCCCACACGTTGGTAGCTGCTAAGCTCATCCTGTGTGTGATGGGACCCCTGAGTACCTCATAAGTCCTGCTCTGGGTTTATGGAACTACATTTGGTAAAGGTGATTTAGGGCCCCTTCCCCCTTCAGTGGGTACCCCCTCCCTTTGACCACTCGTCCCCACTGTCACCAGAGCCCTGGGTCTTCCTGCTCCCCTCGAACTGACTGGGACTCCTGCCAAGACCCACCTCCTGCCACCCATGCCCCTGTCTTCCTGAGGCCTGCTACTTCCTGGCCTAGCTCCTGGATGGCTTCTTTTACCCATCACATTGTATCTGTCCTATTTCTCAGGCCTGCTGGGTGACAGCTGGACTTAAATGTGGAAGCTCATTAGGCTCGGCTATTAATGGATGATCGTGGCTTAATGTATTCCCACTCTGGGTGATATTTTATTTAAACAGAGGCCTTTAATCCCTTCACCCACAGTTGCAGGTTGTATTGGAATATGTGGTACGACCCAAGGGCATATGGACCTTTTAGCTTGAATCACTCAACACAAAGCAAATACATTGCATGCCTATTTCACTGAGCCGATAAGTCAACTGTACTTGAAAATATATTTGTATGACCTGAATATTTACCAGAAACTTTTATAGTCATCCTTTCCATCTATCTCCACAGCAATCCTGGGGGCAGGTACTGTTATCAGCCCAGTCAACAAATCAGGAAACTGAGGTCCAGAAGTTAGAGGCTTGTTCACATTCCCAGCAGTTGGTTGGTGCTGATACCTTCCCCCGCAACAACCTTCTGCTCCATGCCAATCGTGTCCCTAAATTGAGGTGTATGTGCTTAGCACTCCATGAGGGGTGAGGATGCCTTTCTGCCTCTGGAGGTGGGCAGAGGCTGGTGCAGGCAGGAGGGGCTGCGGAGGTTCAGTGAGACATTGGAAGTCCTGAGTCCTCATCTGGGCCCTGCCAATGACAAGCTGTGTGACCTCAAGAGGATGTGATGCCTCTTAGGGCTTCAGTTTTCTCCCATTTGAAGAATGAGAGGTTGCGACTGGGTACCTGTATTCATCCGTTCTTGCACCGCTACCAGAGACTGAGTAATTTATAAAGAAAAATGGTTTAATTAGCTCATGGTTCTGCAGGCTGCACAGGAAGCATGGCTGGGGAGGCCTTGGGAAACTTAGAATCATGGTGGAAGGGAAAGGGGAAGCAGGGACGTCTGACGTGGCCAGAGCAGGAGGAAGAAAGGACAGGGGAGGTGCTACAAACTTTTAAACAACCAGATCTCATGAGAACTCTGTCATGAGGACAGCACCAAGGGGATGGTGCTAAACCATTCATGAAGGACCCACTCCCATGATCCAACACCTCACTCCAGGCCCCACCTCCAACACTGGGGATTATAATTGAACATGAGGTCTGGGTGGGGATACAAATCCAAACCGTATCCGCACCCTAAGACTGCCTCCCAGCCTGGGTCTCTTACTCAACCATCTTCACCTTTAGCTATGTGACAAGCTGGTTCTACAAGACCAACTTTCGGTGGCCCAGAGCCCTGCCTGGGAGACCCCATTTTCTTTCTCTTATCCTAAACTGGCCCTTCTAACATTTCTCCCATAGAGGGGTCTCTGCCTATGTGCTTCAGGTGCTCCAGCCTCACTGCTGGGCCTTTTCTCACACTATTATGACACCTGGAACATCTTCCCATCCCTTTCCTTCTGCTCTACTCCACCCAAAGACTGAGAGCATCCCAAGACAAAAACTGGGACTGATGGGCAGAGCCTGTAAAAGAAGCCCAGAAGAGCCTGGCCTTGTGTGGCCTTGAGGGAGGAGCAGCTGGGAGTGTGCCGAGCGTGGCAACACAAAAGGCAGCACCCAGAAGGTCGACTTGCCCTCCCTGAGGGCATTCCATGGTGCAGGCCCTACAATCTTGGCTCTGGCACAGGCCCAGGGGAGGCAGGGAGTCGGTGCCCAGCCCTCAGGCCTCAGAGGCATATCCCCTGATCAGTGGGCATGTGGCCTGCCTCTCCTGACAACAAAATCAGGATCCGTTTACATTTTCAACTTGTGCCCCTGACATAGGAGACTCTGAAAAATAGAAAATCAGACTCATTTGCACTTCCCAGGAGGCCAATTATGGAAACACCCTACAATTTAGGAAGGGGAAAAAAAATCAAAGGTTCCAAATCAGGATGCCCTTCATCTCGCTGCTCCACACATACTTAAGCAGCAGCTCAAATTAGTTTCCCTGCCACATTGCAGGCCCTGCTCTAGGATACATGTCAGGAAGCAGATGTCGCACCAGCTACCTGCAGACCACCCCCTTTAAAGAGATATAACAACCACAGAGTCACAGCATCTCAGGCCAAAGCTGTCCAACCCTGGAACAGGGCTCCAGCCAATCTCCTGTCAAGGGCAGCAGCTACGCACCGTGGAAGGGCTTTGGCTGTTCTCCCAGCTCGCTTCCATCCTCCCAGGGGTGCTCCAACTTCCTGATCTCCCCACTCCCTCATAAGAGCGTGCTTTGTACTGGACCAGTGGCCTGTGTGAAATGCAAGTTGCTACAGTGCAAATGGTGACTGGGGCACCCTGCATGGTCTAATTACATCCTGACATGTTGTAAGTGAGAAAATCGAGATCCACAACGGACTGATCATTCGAGTTAGCCAATGCTCCCTGGAACCCAGGACTCTTGCGCCCAGCATTCTTCCCACTACTCCACATTGGTTCACAACCTCCCTGCATCAAATCACAGGCCAGAACCCAGGGTGCTTCTTCCAGAAGCTGTTTCTGGCAGAATGCCCTCACCCTATCTTGGCACCAGTCCAGTGTCTGTCCCACTACACATCTCTACCCAGAAATCCCTGCAGCACCACCCTAGGGTGTTTCTCCAGAGCCCCCATCGCTCCTGCCTTATGACCACTCAGGCCTGTCCCCTCAAGAAAGGTTAAGGTCACCCTCCTGGCAACTATCATCCCAGCGCTAACCCACACCATCTCCACAGCACCCTTCAAGGTGGCAGGAGGCTCCAGACTTCAGCCATCCTTCAGGAAGCAATTCGTTTGCAAACAAGGGTCACTTTGGTGTGATGGTTGAATACTCCAGCTAAACTTAAAGATTGTGAGCACCCAACTCAGCCTCTTCATACCTCCATCTCACTGCCATCTACAGATAAGGAGAGGGAACCCCCACCCCCAAAATGAGCTGCAGCAGTGGCATCAGGGTCACATTGCTGCTCAGTGGCAGAGCTGAGAAAGGAACATACAACACAGGGCTCCTGATGCCTGGGATTTCAGAACTGGGGGTAATCTTAAAATCCGTTTAATCCAGGCCCTCTGGTCCCCAGTTATTCTGTGTTGCCTATCCTGTTGGACTCGTGTTCTCTATATTCATGTTTGCACACGCTGACTCTTCATCCCCACCCCCTTGTCTTCTCCTTGCCGCCTTCACACCCAGCCCCCAAGAGCCTGTTTATCTGCTTCCTTGGCCTGCCTATCTGAGGCTGCAGAAAGAAACACATCGCGTGTCCAGCAGGGAGTCTCACCAAGCTCCCCACAGCACAGACACATTTTTCTAGCACACTCTTTTGCCCGTCCCACTCCCTGCAAGGGACAGCCACCCGTCCTCCAGAAAAGCACCTAGTGCATAAGGTGAAGCAGGAGCTGAGGGCAGCTAAGACCCAGCTGCCCCAGCAAACTCCCTGCCCTTCCACCTGCAAGCCTTACCAGCAGGCAGAGGGCTCTGTCCTCGAGGACCACTGGCTGGTTTCAGATCTGGCCCTGAAGCTGTATAACCATGGATGGCTTTCCCTGAGTTGTTACCAGAAAGCAGGCGTCCCCCGCAGCCAAACGATCTCCCAGAGCACAGACCGGGAAGCCCCTCCACTTCTGACCCAGAAGAAAACTCACCCTTGGATTCAACTGCCAGCCATTGCAGTCTGTTTCACTGGGAGCACTTAGCCCTGGGCCTTCTAGGTGAAGCTAAACCGCCTGCATCCTGTGCCCTGAGTCCGGCTGCAGGAGGAAGGAACAGCGGGCCTCGGAGCTGGAATCACAGCTCACCTCGCTGCCGACCAGCCTGGGCAAGGCATGACTGTGCGTGACTCCTGCTTCGTCTCTTGACGACGCGTGTGTGAATGTGTATGTATGAGTACATATGTGTGCGTGTGCATGCGTGTGCAGATAACTCACATGATGTCATGGGGGGACTCTGTGAAGGTGGATAGGCGGCACATAGAAACACTGGAAAGAGAAAGCATTCTATTTATTAATGGGAGAAATCATCCTTCTCAGTCCAGACAGTTCCACCCGTCTCTGGCCCTCATATGTGAAGCAGAGGCCTCTAGACTCCCCGCTGCCCCTGACATTCTGGAAGTGGATGATCCTCCCACCTCTGCTCACTCGTGGGTCCTTAATGCACTAGGCTTTGCCCAGCGGCAGTGGCGGGGATGGCCTTTTCCATGCACTGCCTCTTTGTTACCTGTTTGGTCTCTTCTGCCTCTGTCCAAACTGCTGATGCTGTTCATCTTCCTGAGCCCTACAGGGCAAGCACCTCAGAGCCCCTCTGAAAGTTACAGAAGGTGCCCTAAAGTCCTAAGATGTGGCACCTTAAGTGGCGATCGGGAGGGGATGTACTTTCCAACCTCTTTATGCCTTTGCAAACATTCTTATAGGATGCAGGAGTGGGGAATACCTGTATCAAAACACCTGTGTTGAGATCCTTCCCTCTGAGGGCTGTGTGGGGTGCAGAATGCACTTCGCTGATCTTGCTCCCTCTCTCAGGGGCTGAGGACCCCAGGTAGGGGTCACACCCCTGGAGAGATGGTTGTGAACTGTCCAGTGGTGGGATTCGGAGCTCTAACTCATCTCAAGGGTGAATGTTGCCTGTGATTTATTCTCTTATCCCTTCTGTTCTGTCCCTTCCTCGACCTGCCAATTCCTACTCTCCTCCTCCTGTTCCTCCTCCCCTCCTTCTTCTTCCTCCTTTTCCTCTCCTTCTTCTTTCTCCTCCTCCATATACCTTTGGATTGGTTGATGGAGGCCACCCCCCTAGGACATTTGAATTTCACTAGGGGGCCTCTGAAAGGATTTTAGGTGAAATAAAGATAGAAGGAAGGAAAGAAAGAGTGGGAGGAGAGGGAGGGAGGAAGGGGGAAGGAAGGAAGAAAAGAAGGAAGGGAGGGGGGAAGGAAGGAGGAAGGAAGGAAAAGAAGGAGGGGATGAAGGAGAGAGAGGAAGGGAGGGAGGGAAAGAAAGAAAGAGCTTATGGCTTATATTACAGTTAAGAGCCTGCAGTTCAGAGTGATTAAGTGATTTGATCAAGGTTCCACTGCTAATAAGTGGCAGAGACAGGACCAGAACTCAGGTCCCCTGCCTCCCTGTCCAGTGCTCCGTTCTTTTCTTCATCCGGCCCCCAACGAGCTGCAGAGAGAGGACTGTCACCCTGGGTCTGACGCGATTTCAGACATTGGAAGCATCGTTTTTTGATTTGGAAGTGAGGTGCCCCTGGCCCAGGGCAGTCCTGACAGCCCCGTTTCACCCTGCAGGCATTGATTACCGTGTGAAGACGGTGAATGTGGATGACTCTCAGGTGGCCCTGCAGCTGTGGGACACGGCTGGGCAGGAGAGGTGAGGAGCTGTGCCTGAAGTTCTGGGCTCTAAAGGGAAGGCCGTGCATGCCTGACCCCTGGCCCTTCTGTGGCAGGTACCGGTGCATCACCCAGCAGTTCTTCAGAAAGGCTGACGCTGTCATCGTCATGTACGATCTCACAGCCAAGCAATCGTTCCTGTCGGTCCGGCGGTGGCTGAGCAGCGTGGAGGTGAGCTGGCAACCTTCCGAGGAGCCCTTAGGCTTGATTGTCGCTTCTCTTTTCTTCTCTGTCCATCTCCCACCTGGGCCTCTGCACTTTCAAAATCTGATTTGGAACTTGCCTTTCCCAGGAACAAACTGATTCAGGCATCTGCTCCTCTGTTCATCTGAGTTCCCGGTACTGGGCTAGTTACTGGGGACCCAGAAGTGAACAAGACAGACACAGTCCCTGCCTTCAATGGAGAGAGGGACACAGAAAATCCAGATTATGCCAGCAGCTGGGCCATGAGTGAGTGGGACTGGATTGGGGAAGGGGACGCAGTGGGGTGTCAAGGAAGAGTCCTGGAGAAATCAGTGTTTGGTTGACAACCAGATTCTTTCCTCATTCTCACCAGCACCTCTCCCCACCCGTTGAGTCTTTCCAGCTCCAGTAGACCCAGCTATGCCCTGCCCGGCAGCCACACCGTGCAATGTCACAGCCCTTCACACAAGGGGAGGTTGATCCAGAGTGCGAGGGCTCCAGGTTCACCACAAAATCAAAGGTCTGGGCAGGGCCCAAGAGCAACCGTGTTATCTTTGCATTCTGAATTGTCTGGGAGACTCTATTTTTATGATTCCTACTTGCAGTGTGTTGCTTCTTATGTGCCTTTTTTTTTAAATTTAAGTTTTTCCACCACTCCAATGTGGGCTTCTCAAGGCCAATGCCAGTGTGCACAAGCCATGAATTGCTTTTTACCAGGCTTCAGCTGATTCCTTCACAGAATAGTCAAGTAGGACGCCCCACCTCTTCTACCAGCTGGATTCAGGATTTGTTCATTTATTTGTTCAAAACACCGACAGGCACTATTCTAGGGCCTGGAGATCCTAGCAGTGAATAAAAGAGGCAAAGCTCCTGCCCTCATGAAGCTTATGCTCAGCTCTCTCTGCTCCAGGCCGAGAAAACCTTGCATGCTCCCGTCACATACTTATCACACTGCTACAGATCGCTTTTTTACTGACCTGTATCTCCCACTGGACTCTGTGCTGCCTGAGGACAGAAGCTGCATCTTTGTTGCTATAAGCTGTGTGCTTTGCATGAGGCCAGCAACTACTGGATGAATGAATGGATACCACATTGCTTCGAAGAAGAATCTTGGAGTTGTCAATTTCTTCATCCCTTTTGGCCCTAAGATCTGTGATCTCTTCCACCCGAATCCGTTTCTCTGTGGTTCGCCCTGTCTGGGTCACCTCTCTCTCTATCGTTAATCTGCATCCTCTGATTACTGAGAAAAACAAGGAACAGAATGGAGGGGTTGAACAGATTCAAGGGTTTCTCAAGAATTTACTTAACACCTGATATTTCTCAAAATTACTGTGCCTAACACGCTTACAGTTGAGAAAATGCAGGTTTGAAACGTAGCTAGTGGATTGCCCATACACCAAACTAATGATGGAAGCAAACGGTGTGGGTGAACCTGGCAGTAACTTCTTTCTAAACTTTGGAATTTATGACATGATTTTTCTCTTCTTTTCTTACTTTTTTTGCTGTGCTGTTGGCAGCACCAGCAGATTTATCTTCCGTATTGAAGTGAAGCACCAGGAGAGATGTCAGGATTACCTAATCCGGGGATTTCCAGGCTTTCCTCCTTGGAGTCCTGGAATCAGACTGACACCTCCCAGAGACTGGGGAGCGGCAGGGGAAGGTTTAGGGGTCATGGATCCGGGTCCCTCATCCTCCATCTCCATCAGAGCTGCCCTGCCTTTTTCAGCATGTGAAAGGTTAGGTACCATTCTGTTACACAAAAGGATTTCCCTTTGAAAATCACCCATCTAGTATAGGCCACCTCATTCAAAAGTGAAGAAAGGGAAGCCCTACCTTCTCCAAGGTCACGTGTCCTTTTCACAGACATTTTTAAGTGTACCCCAATATCTAAATTTTGGTGTGCGCTAGGGCTAAGCTTCCAGGGGGTCTGGGATTAATGGGAGTGGATGGTGACAAATTCGAGGAACTGTGCTCTCTGCTGTCATTAGGGGGTGTCGTTTCTAAGGCTCCTGTTTTGCACAGAGCCTGGGATCTAGAAGGAGAGATGGAACAGTTTGGTGGTGGAGGTGAAGAAATCTCGGAAGGCCATCATCACAGCTTGAAGCATGAGTTTAGTCATCCTCCAGAAACGTTGCTTTGTGGGACAGGGCTGAAATGCGTCAGTGGTGTGTGGCTGCTAAGAGACCCATGGAAGTCTGGGTGTGTCTGTGAGCTTGGAAGCCCGGCTGAAAGGGCAAATCTATACATGGTGAAATTAGAATCGCTTATGTTAGAATCGCAAATGGGGCTTTTCCATATGATTTGTAGTTTGAGTTTTTCCTTTTTTTAGATATTAGTCAAAGATACATTTAAGCTGTAATTGATTATTCTAAACCTAGATGAACATCAGGATCACCTGCGGAGCTTTTAAAGGGAACATAGGCCAGGGCCTTCTCTCCCAGAGTGATTCAGGGACTGCAAAAGAAAAGAAAAAAAATCCTAACAGCTCCCCAGGGAATTTTGATTCTCAGCCACCACTGTTCCCAGCCTAAACAAGTGCTCCTTGAACCCTAACACATATAGGACTCTCTTGGGGACCTCCTTAAAATGCAGCTTCTGCTTCAGTAAATCTGAGCTGGGGTCTGAGATTCTGCATTTCTAGCAAGTTCTCAGGTGAGGCCGATGCTGGTGGTCCAGGGATGGCCCTTTGAGTAGCAAAGCCCTAAATCATTTTCAAAGACGCCTGTGACCCCTCACCAAGAGCTTTCTAAGCATCTATGGCATGTCCAGCACACACTAGGTGCTCTGGGACTCAGGGTGCAGACCGGGAAACGGGTTCAGCGCAGCAGCACAGAGTTTCAGGAGCGAGTGCAGGAGGCTGTGTGAAATGGCAGCGTGTGTTGAAGGTGCGGAACGGTGGCATCATAAATGCAATTATTCTCCAGATTCTTGAAAAGCTAAGTCATTCTGCCTTGGCAACCAGCAATCAGAGGTGTCAGGTGATAGATTAAAACTTGACACCTAATTTGATCTGAGGGGAACTGAAAATAATAAGTGCCTTATATCTGTGGAGCACCTTATTTTTCCAAAGAGCTCCAAGCACTTTACCAACTCCCTCGCCTGGAGAACGGAGGGTGGAGGAGGCACGTTAATGACAGTCTTTGGGGTTCTGAAACCTTATTAGTAAGTGAATAGTGGCCAGCTGTTCACAGTCCCCCTTCCTTCCTCCACCTGAAAAGCATGCAAGAAAAAAGGCCTTCAGTTGCTGTACATGCCTGCATGGGGAAGACTTACTCTTGGAAGAGGCTGTGTGGGGTGGGAGCGGATGCTCAGGGGAGGTAGTGGAGCTCCTGAAAGGAGGTTTTTACTATCCCATCTTGGTCACTTCCTGGCCATGAAACTTTGGCCAATCATTCAATGAGGGAGCAGACCGAATGCTCCCTCCTGGACCCCAAATTCTAGTATATGATGGCATTTGACTCTCTCTCTGGGAGGCCATTGTGTGGATGAGAAGACCCTGGAGGGTCCTTCCAGCCCAGAAGGAACAAAAATCCTTTGCTGCAAGAGAGCAGCAGCCCTGCCTGATGAAGTGGAGGCTGTGCCCTTGCCCGTGTGCTCCTATTCCACCCAGCCTAGGCAACTTCACCCTGCCCACAGGCCTTCCGCAGAAGAGACCCGCGCAGGGCCAGGACACACTGCCAATTCTCCCGAGTGCTTACGGGAAGTCAGCACAGGGAGACTTTCGGCCAACTCAGCACTTCCAGTCCACTACCAGCTTCTTTTCTCAGGTGGTTTAACCAGTCCAACCCAGAAAAGTAACTAGGCAGTCGCTGAGGCCCCATCTGTGACCACTGGACACGCTGGACATCAGAAGGCTCTGGGTGCCTCTGTCGGGTACAGAAGATAGGATTTAGAACGCCAGCCTGTGCACGCCTGTTTGGGCTGGTATTTCCCCCCGAGCCAGATTGCCGGCCCCCAGTGTCTGCAGCCGTGGGACGCTGAGCTTCTCGTTTAGAGCCTCTTGCCATTCTGATAGCACTAAATTGCTAGGCATATAAGTCAAGAAAGGGAAATAGAATTGGCAAAGTTAAGCTGAATAGACCAGTGTTTCTGAGCTGGAAAAAAACGTGGAGATTAATGCAACCTCTTGTTTTATAAGTAAGAAAATGGTGATCCAAAAAGAGGAAGTGACTTTCCCAGAGGCACCCACACTTGTCAGCAGTACCCCCTGATCTAGAAGGGAGGGCTTTGCCACACTGCACTGCTTCTCGCTTGTCCTGTGGGCCATGGCTGAAATCTGCTCCTGGAAAGCAGGTGTTCATTTACTGTTCAGACTTCCCTGCTTATCTCTCGGGGTCCTGGCTCACTTCCCTATCCCTTCCTGGGCTGCTAGCTAACCCTCATTCTGTGATCTTTGTCACTGGTGACAATGTACAGCATGGTGCAAAAAATAGCAGTTTGATTTTTTTTCTCCACGTTCCAAGTTGAGCTTGAAGTGCTGGCAGTTTCAAACGAACTACACAAATAAATCTTGTTTTGACTCAGAGTCCAGGGGATGGATAAATATGGAAACCCCCAAGATATAATTTTGCAGTCATTTTTTTCTTAGCATAACTGCATGCTTTAATGTGCTGAGAAATTTTTTGTTCTGGCTCCAGAGAAACAGCAGCACTATCCCAGCTAAATGCTTTTTCATGCCTCCTAGCAAATAGATATTAAAACACACACACACGCACGCACGCGCAAACACACAGATGACAATCAACTCAACCCAGCAGCTGCACATTCTGAGCTGAATGCCAGTCCACTGCTCCAAGTTGATAGCTGTTGTTATTTCAAGTCAGAGATGGGTGATCTTTTGAATTTCAGCAAGTCTGTCTTCCAACAAGATCAAGTTCACAGAAAGGCAGCTGGAATGACTGAAGGTGGAGGGAGGGCTCTGTTCGAGGGTCATAGAACAGAACCTGACTTGAGAACAAAACACAGAAAAGAGGAGAGACTCAGATGAGTCACATGGAGAGATGGTGACAGAGCTAGGGCAGAACCCACGTCTCCTCCTGACGAAGGAGCTGAGATGACTTCACTCCAACCTGTCATGCCAATGGCATTTTTACCAGCGTCTCTCACAGTCTCAACAGTGGAGTTTGAGTAGACCTGAGACTTGTTCACCAAAGCCCTAGAGGCTTGAAGCAGGTGTTGCTTCATCTAGGAGGCAATTTTGAACATCTTGTGCTGAAAACCTAGTTAGGTATGATGAGAAAGGAATAAAGTTTAAACAGATAGTTCAAGATTTTGGGGGTCAAAGTCGGAGGGGACCATGAGATATCCACCCCACGCCAACTCCTCTCGCTGCCCCGCATCAGACTGATGGCCTTGGGCCACGGTGATGGCGATTGACTGACTGTGATAGTTAACTCACTCCGTGGTCTTATGGGCGTTCTTATTTATTTCTGCCAAATATTTGGAGATGAATCTAATTCTCCTTTATCGGTGGCAGGCCAGGGTCCCTGGAGGGAGGTGAGTTATCCAGTGTGGCTGTGTAAGAGAGGAACAATATGAAGAACAGAAACCACAGCTCCTGCTGGGTGCTTTGCTTTTTTAATTTTTGTTCTGCTCCTTCTAAGCTCCTTTAGTTTTATATCCAGGAATTGCCCTTTCTTTTCCCAGGAGGCAGGAGGCACTATTGCTGCTGATGGTGCATAGGGCCCAGATGTTGGGCTTATGACCCATTCCCTCCCTCATCCAGTTTGGTCATTCAGCATCCATCATGCCCTCTGCAAGCGAGGAAACAGAAGGCATCATCCATTCCAAATAATAACAAAACCTGGGGTGGAATTCTGCCCTGGGGTTTCAAGTCTGATGCTCATATTTTCAGAGTTTCCATGTCAAGAAACCCCACAAGCCTTAGTCATTCCTCACACATAAATCTACAAATATCTCTCTCCCATGTGCTTTCAACAGCAAGCCGCTTGGCCCGTTTCCCTGCTTCCTCCTCTTTTCTTCCCTTTCCGTGAAAAGCTCTTTGCACAAATATTCTGTGGCACAGCACCGTCAGAGGAGGGGCGTGTTCCCATCAGAGGAGGGGCGTGTTCCCATCAGAGGAGGGGCGTGTTCCCATCAGAGGAGGGGCGTGTTCCCATCAGCAAACGCTCCGGCTAATAGGGGCCACAGGATTCCATACATGCCGTGAGTGGCTTTCTCACTTTCAAGGAGTTGGAAATATGTAAAATCCACTTAGCACATCAACTGCACATGTCCAGAATTTATCTATTTTTGATGGGTCAGAAGACACTGTAAGATCTTATAGTGCCTTTGAGTCATCATTGCAAACACATATTATCATCTCACTGATAGATACTGCTTTTAGAGAGTTCCAGTTAATAAGACACTAAGTAGCAGAGACTCGATTGGAGATAAGAATCTGGAGGAAAAGGTTAGAGAAGTGGAGAACCATATACTAAAGAGTTCTCCTCATTCAGTGCTTATGGTGTTGAATGTTCTTTTGGATTCTCGGAACCTTAAGTTTCTCACTTGGTAAATAAGAATTATCCCCCCGATTGAACTGCAGTAAAAACAAGTGCACAAAGGAAACATTGAGGCTTAATTTCAAACATAATAGCATCTAAACTTAAAACCGGTGTACCTGTAAGATGGGCTTTGGGCATTGATTTGAAATATTCAGGTAAAACAGCCAAAGTATTGGCAAAACTGTAACTGCTTATTAGCTTCTGTTATCCCACAGTTCCCTCTATTTAGTAAAACATTTAGCTACAGTGAATAACTATTTGTCACTCAATTATGATTAAAAGCCCCTAATTAAAGATTTAAGTAAAAATAACAACCTTTCTCAATGTGCACATTACCACATTTACTCACTGAATGGCAGTCAGTGGTCCTGGGCCCTTTGGGCACCCTCAGGAGAGACACACGCAGTGCCCATTTCACCAAGGAGGGGGTGGAGACCCAGGAAGCAGGCCTCCGGCTGGGAAGCCACAGCCGCTGGGGCAGTAAACAGTGTGACACCTGGTCCAAGCAGTGCAGCCGCTAAGGTCACAGCGTTCCTCCTTCTACAAGGCTTTCTTCAGAACTCAAGCACCAGGTGATAGGGGTCAGTCATTTATGGAGCCCTGTGGGCACAAGACCATGAGGCAGATTTGGATCCAACCCTCAGAAGCGTATGTGCTATCATGAAGCCTCTGGTGATGCAGCTTCTCATCAAGGCAACCTCCAGAGCAACTCCGAACGGGGGTTGGGGGGGCGATCATGGTCTTGGTCCACTGGACTAAGCCTGGTCATTTTGGAAGGCCTTAGGGCTCTGTAAGCCCCGGAAGGGGGCACGTGGTCCATTGGCATCAACTGTCCCATCATCCAGCACATCTTGGGGTCCTGCTGTTCCATCTAAGATCCGAGGAGCGTCTTAAAGGGGGTGTGGACATTGCACACACAGGGACTGGGAGACACCACAGGCGGGCCTCGTGCACTTTGCGGAAGCGTGATAAGCTGGGGGTCTCGGAGAAGGTGGCTGTTTTCTGCTTTCCAGATGACTCTGTTACTGCCTGGCCTGTTGTGGCGGCCGGGGATTCTCCAGCCAGGTTGCATTTGTCCAGCCGGCATTGTCAGCCTGCCCTCTGGGCAAATCCTGTAACACCCCTCTCAGTTGAAAACATTTTCTGTTCTGCAGGAAGCTGTGGGAGACCGGGTTCCTGTCCTTCTGCTGGGTAATAAGCTTGACAATGAGCAGGAGCGGGAAGTTCCCCGGGGCCTCGGAGAGCAGCTTGCCAAGGTAAAGAGCAAGCATTTCCATCTCTCTGGACAGAGTGTGACCCTGAGGGAAGTCGGGCAAGTACCCAAGAGCCTTGGTGGGGACGTTCTCTGGAAATGCCATGGGAAGGAAGCAACTGAAAAAGATGGGTGTCCTGGCATCATGGAAATGTAGAACTTTGCATAGAAAGCTACAGATTGCAAGATAGAGTTAGTTAGGGACCACTAGGGTATGGGGAATTATCCTAAAGTCCTTTCCTTGTAACTCAGAATTATAATTCTAAGATAGCGATAGTTGACTTATTTCCATCCCCCTCCAATCTGCGTTTCCACCTGATCACCCCAGGGATTAAAAACTCGCTCTCTGCAAAGCAGTATGTTCTTCTGCAGACCACTGTGTTTGAGTTCATCCTTTCTATCAGGATTGAGCCTCAAAGCCGTGAACTCAAGATACACTCAGGAGACACACTGGAAAACCTACCATTAAAATAAGCATGGGCCCTCTTGCCCAAAATAGAATCAATGGGGCTTAATGGAAATCAGGCAACAAAATGTAGTTCCCTGGCTTCTTTCACTGCCTCAGAGTTTGGTTTTCACGGAACTGTGTGTTTGGGAGGATGGGGTGCTTACCAGCTGCACGATTCTGTAATTCTTCACATGCTTGCTCTAAACAAGGTTTCATGAGCTCAGAGCCTGGGAGAATGAGCACAGATGGTAGGACTCAAGGGAAAAGGAGGAGAAGGGCCTGGCAGGTATCTATGTGGAGGGTCACTAGACAGTTACCTGGCCACAATTCCAAAATCCACAAAGCTCTGGAAACAGAAAGGGTTTTTTGCATTTTATCTGGCAGAAAAATCTGACCAGAAATGACATGAGACTATTCATGGTCACTTTGAGTGAATGTCCAAAATCTAACTGAAAAAATATTAAAATGTTGGATTATAGAGTGCTGTCTGAAATCTAGTGAGGGTATTATATAATATATGCTATATCCATATATTACCTTTCTAAGATTCAAAAACTTCTGGATTTCAAAATATACCTGGACCCAAAGATTCTATCCATTTTCTTTTCTTTTTTCTTTCTTTCTTTGTTTGGTCAATGAAAAAAAAATTGAGACTCAGGAGTTAAGTGATACATTGGTGTTATCACAGCTCATCCGAGGTGGGGTCAGAACTGAAAGCCGGAAGGCAAATCACGTCTTCCGGTTCTAAGTCCTGAGCCCTTCTCCCCACTATCCCCACCCCATGGAATCTTCACTCTTTGACAGAATGACCCAAGAGGTTGCAGATTTGAGAGAAATGCAGACAGGGAGAGATGGAGCCCATGGGGCTGGGTGAGGAGGGCAGAAGGTGGAGCTGGCCTGTGGGTGTAGGTGGGGAAAGCTGCACTGGGAGCGTGGCAGTGCCTCCTGAGCTGCAGCCACAGAACTGTCCTCACTCAACTGGCCTGAATCCCATCAGGGCGTCAGCCTCCAAGAAGGGGCCATCTAAAAGCCAGGGCACCGTGCCATCAGCATTGTCATAATGAAGCCAGTAATCTACTAATGGGAATCATCCGTAGAGTATGATGAGCCTTAGCCAAGGGCACCCCCACCATGCAGGCAGCACAACCTCATCCTAATGAGCTGATGGCCAGTCTGGTGCATCAGTGCTGACAGCCAGGGCAGCTAGGGTATTAATTAACTGCTGTGAAAAAGAATTCCTACTAGAGTGCCTCATGACACCTGTCTCCAATGCCTATGGAATGCCACTGTCCTGGGGAAAGCATGTTGTAAGGAGCTCTGCCATTAACTCAGTGCAGGACTGAACAAGTCAGCCAAGTGCCCTCTCTCACTGCAGTTTACCTGCCTGTGAAGGGGGAAGAACACTGCCTGCCTGCCCTGGCCTTTGTGTCTTTGCCTGAATCACAGGGCTGGTATAACCTGGAATGAGCATGTATGCACTTGAGAGTGATTTGGGAAAGTATAAAGAAGCACTAAGGCAGCGAATGGTTTCGTGGTTTTACACTTGTTACAGCTCACCTGGGAGATGGTTACAGAACTTGCATTAGTCAGGGAGCCTGTGGAGACAGAAATCAGCCACGTACAGAGTGAGGAAGGACTATGAGGAGATCGGGGGCCTGCGTGAGGAAGCGAAGGCTGTAGGTAGATGCACAATGGGCTCTCCCACCACCCCCACGGTGCCCTGTCACTCCAATACGCTTGTATTCACTCTGTTTTATGATTCCAGGAGAACAATCTGATCTTCTATGAATGCAGCGCCTACTCTGGTCACAATACCAAAGAGTCCCTGCTCCATCTAGCCAGGTAAAGACATGTGCTCCCCAGGTATGGTAACTGCTGCGTCCAGCTGTGTCTGCCTTCGGGGAGGCACCTTATTTCCCTCTGCCCAGGCCGTGCGTCTGACCTCTCTTCCTCCCTATTGGCTGGAGCCCCCTGAGTATAAGCAGCGGGGTCCTAGGCCTTTGTGTGCGATTGTAGCACCGGGAGCAGCTTTCTGAAACAATGATGTTGGGAAAGAAAGCCTGTCACCCTGCCTGTCACCCCCATTGCAGTCTTCTTCTTAGTCTTAAAGCCATCTTTTCCCAGGGATGCTCTTTTCAAATGCGAATCCTTCTGGGAAAGGTCAGATGAGGGGCCCCTCAGCACTGGCGGATGTCTTAGCAGGGACTAGTTGGGAGCCAGCTGGGGGCAAGAATGGGTTATAATATGAGTTCCTGGGTGTGGGGGAAGGGAGTGGGTGTGGGAGAGAAGACGGGCTGTGATGGGGAGTCAACAGGAGGTAGCCAAGATAATAGCGCTAAAAGGACTGATCGCATGAAAAGACTGGTTCCTTAAGGCCCTGCCTACACCAAAAATTTCAACAACAAAACCACGCTGGGACTTATTTTCGATACTTAAGCATTCATTCATTCATTCATTCATCCAACAAATATTTAACAGAGCCCATTTTGTGCTCAGCACTCATTCTGGGGGCATTTAAACGATTTTTTTATTTGAATAATTAAGAGCCCAGAACAACTCCTCTATGCATTGGCGAGGTTATGGGGTTATGGAGTATCATAAGGAAAAATTCTAGGCTTTTCTCTGCCCCTGACTCCCTGGGCAAGTTCCTGCCTCTCTGAGCTTTGTCAGGAAGGTAGAAACATCAGTCACCTTCCTTTCCTGCCCACTCACAGGTTGTTGAGAGAATCAAAGGAGATGCGTAATGCAAAAGCATTTCGAAAGTATAAAACAGAGACAAGGTGTTTACCATTATTTTTAATCCCTCACCTCCTATGTTTAATCTGGAGCTGTGGCCACATGTCATAGGCCTTCTGCAGAGGTCACAACCCATCAGTATATTTTGGAGCCTCTCCTATGTGTTGGTTACTGTGATAGGATGCAGAGGCACAGAGATAAAGATAACTCTTGGTCCCAAGGAACTCATTTCTGCTGAGGGAGACAGCCAGGGAAGCATGCATTGTGACACTGGGTGATGGGATCATGACAGAGGAAGAGTCAGAGGTTGTCAGGGGCTCTTAGGCTCACCTAGAGGATCAGGAGGGGCTTCCTGGGGGAGGAGTCTTGAAGGATCCATGACTACTAAACTGTCTGGGTTTGCAATTACAGTTGTGCACCTGTACTGTCCAGGGTGAGATGTTCAGTACTCTTTCTGATGCCGAGGTGAGGGTGGGCTCTCTCCATATGGCCCAGATGGCCTGTAACCTGAGGGTGGCTGGTCCAGGTTGCCAGCCCCCGGGCCTGTCAACTTTTCCATCAATGACACCATCTCTTCTCTCCCAGGTTCCTTAAGGAGCAAGAAGACACAGTGAGAGAGGACACCATTCAGGTCGGCCGCCCTGCTAAGAAGAAATCCTGCTGTGGCTGATAGAGTCCTACCAGGACTGCCCCCAGCAAGCCTGAGGTCACAGAGCCTGCCCTGATCCTGCACACGGCTCCTGCACAGATGTCGCCCACTGGGGTCTACCCAGTCCTTTTCTTTGTCAGTCACTTGCCTCCCCCAAAAGGAAGGGAAGCACATCCCATCAGGAGAGCTGCTCTTTGAGTCTTTCCTCTCTATTTCTAGACCCCAGATGCCCATCCCTTGTTGTTGTTGTTGTTGTTGTGTTTCCCTGACTTAGTTTCCTGGGGGGAAAGAAACAGATGGGCTTTTCCAGAAAAGCCACCACGTGCCTTCTCCACCCCCCTTCTCCTCCCTTTGCCCTTAGGAGCCTCAGCACTGCTGTTGCCATGACAACCATGCAGGGCCTGACTTGTGGCTTCCTGCAGGCCAAAGGTACAGCACTCAGGTGCCTCCAGGGTAGTTAATCTTGCTTGGCCCCTGTTCTCCAGAGGCCAAAGGGATGCTCTTACACATGCTGTGTGGCTCTTGAGATGCCTGAGTTGTTGGCTGCAGCAAACCAGGGCAGCCACATTCTATTCTACCCCTGACCTGGGGGGCTCTGCTCTTTCCCTAATCCCAAGCTTTGAGCCTTCCCTCTCAGCACCATGTCCACTGCCTTTGCCGCCTTGGGTTTTCTGGAACAGTGCCTTATGGAGAACCTACAGCCTCTCCTCCTCACCCCGCACCCACAACCCTGACTCCAGGGTGGACTGTGGGTGAGAAACGATGCCTGGGGTTAGGGAGTGGGCTGACTTCCTACTTAACTTTGACTGAGAAATGAAAAGAAAACTAGTGGAAAAAAGCCATCTGCTGCTGAACAGAGCGACCATTTCTGGAAGGTATAAATGAGGTGTATACAGCTATATAAAAGCCATTTTCTAAATGTTTCTCAAAATAGCTCTTTGAAAAATCGTACATGATGATTAACAGGGTAGACTGACAAGCAGGCAGTGGGGCCCAGCGCAAGGGCCATAGTCACTGACTTCATTTTATTTTCTTGTACTTTATTCCAGAACACTGTATTTTTTTCAGTGTGGCTGTGATGTTGACATTTGCTGGTGTTTGAGAAGTGAACAGAATGTAGCACCCCCGATTGCAGCAGCACAGGGCACTTCCTGCAGCTGGGTGGTGGCGAGCTCCCAGCCAGCTCTGGCATCTCTAGCCGGCCATCACCGCACTCTTGCCCTGAGTGGGAAGTTGAATGAAAGTTGTTACAAAGATCACTGCCAATCACTGGGCCTGCAGACCCAGGCCCCTATAGGAAAGTGGGTGGTTCACACCCAAGCAGGGCACACAGAGAGGGAGAGGGAGGGGCAGAAAGTGTCCACAGGCTTCCAACAAGATAGTTGAAGACAAACCCACATAGCCACATGGATGGGAGAAAGGCCACTGGCCAGAGTTCCCAGGGCATCCCAATAGCCTCCTCCCAGACTCCCAAAATAGTCAGAGGCCCCCTGGGCAAGTACCTACCTCTTTTTTGCAGACTCCTCTCTTTCACTGAACACTCGTAGGAACCAGAGAGCCCATGGAGGGTGCTGAACTAAAATGAGGATGGTGTACCAGGAGGTGCTCCATGATCCTATGCAAGCCCGCTCCCTCCCTGGGCTCCCCACGCAGCAGTAAAATGAAGAGATGGGCTATTTGATGCTTTGAGCTCTTCTTGCTCAGATGCACAGGATGACATATTTATTTTTCATTATAGGCTGGCCCTGGACCTCAGTCCAAGGTTAGAGAATTCATAGGGAACTCCCTTCCACTAAGGAAGGGCAGTGGTGGTGGTCCCATTAATAGGATGTGGATGAGGCAGGGAGAGGGGATGCATGGGTCACCCAAGTGGCCCTACAATGTGTGTGTGTGTCTGTGTGTGTGTGTATGTCAACTGCGTAAAGGGAAAGGAAGGCTAGAAGGTCACGGTGGCCATGGAGAAAGTAAACTCGCTCTTCTGCTTTTGACAAAAAGCAAACATAGCTATTGGGATTTATGGGGCTAGCAGGCCATTCCTGGGGTTCCCTAAACCCACAAATGTCTTTATTCCTAATACCTTGCCCCTGGCTTTCTGCTGCATTCTTCCATTTAGAAACAGAGCATGCAAGGTTTAGGGCAGGGAAGGTCTGGCCTTCTAGAATGTGGAGTAAATCCCCATGATTCTTCAAAGGAGAGAGAAAGGAGTGGGGTGGGGTGGGGGTCTTCAGGCCTCTGCTCCTCTCTTCTCCAACCCGCCCTTTTAAAAAGAGGGAGAAGGCCGAGTGTGGTGGCTCACACCTGTAATCCCAGCTGAGCCAGAGGATCATTTGAGACCAGAAGTTGGACACCAGCTTTAGTAACATGGCAAGACCCTACCACTACAAAAAAAAAAAAAAAAAAAAATTGAATATTAGCAGAGCATGGTGGCATGAGGAGTTTTAGCTACTCAGGAGGCTGAGCCAGGAGGATTACCTAAGCCCAGGAGTTCGAGGTTACAGTGAGCTATGATGGTGCACTCCAGCCTGAAGGACAGAATGAGATTCTATCTAAAAAAAAAAAAAACAAGAGTGTAGGATTGGGATTCCAGAGGAACTCTGAGAAGTTCCTTGTCCCCAGCTCTCAGCTCTCCTCCTCCCATTCCTTTTAAGCCACCATGTTGATCAGAGCCACCCTGGGCTGTCACTCTGCCCCAAAGGCTGCCAGAGAAACCTTCTGGCTCTGTCCCATTCACATCCTTGTAATGGCCTTGAGCTAATCACTTAGCCAGGATCCACATTCATCTGTAGATTGGAATTTTCGATGTCGACCTCACAGGGTCATTTTAGTAGTAGATGAGGTAATATATGTAAAGTACCTAGCACAGTACCCAGAAGAGAAGAGGTGTCAATAAGTAGGGGCTACTTTTGTTGTCAACATTGAGTTGCTGTCCTGGCCACTTGCCTTGCTTCAGTTTTACATTTAGAACCAGCAAACAGTTACTAAGCATCTGCCTGGAACTGGGCACTTTCACAAACATAACCTCTTTTGGGCATCTGTTTGCCCAACCCATTTTCCTGAGTTCTGAGCTCATATCTGGCTTGCCTCTTGCTGTTCTTTGTTCCTGTGAGTTTCCCAGCTTCCTGGTTTGTCTATCAGTGCCCACAACCTTTCAGCACCCAGTCCTCCCTCCCTCTCTGTGGTGCTCTGGGAACCACTCAGATGGCAGATCAGACCTGGTCACAGCTCCTGGGTGTTTACTTACGAATGGTCTTGCTCACTGCCATCCCCGGCTCTTGCCTGCTCCCCTGTTCTTACACCTTTTGCTTCTGCTGCTGCTGCCCTCAACCCTGAGTTGCCAAATGAAGAACCTCATCACCAAACCAATGCCCCAGTTGCTTTGCTTCTTGTCTAGCATTTGTTTCACTGCACGCTCCCTGTGTGACCTTTTCTGTTCCCCTGTGATACCGTAGCTGTCTCCCTGCTCCTCAGCTAGTACTCTTTCTTTCTCTATTCTTAATACTTCTGCCTTCTCTGAGATGTTCCTTCTCCCTGCTTTTCTCCTGGGCCTAGGCCAGGCCTTAACCTGTATACTCTATGAAAAATGGCACAACCATTTTTCTGTCACTAGTAGTAACTGCTCCAACGGCACTTAAACCAACGTCGGCTAAATGGAATTAAAATGCAATTGGTGGCTTCCAGGGCCATATGTATAGTTTAATAAAGAACTGTAAGGGAGGCAAACGTCTAACCTAAAGAAATGAGTCCCTAGTGATAGGGCATTAGCCACTATAATGGGTTATGGGAATTAAATATTTAGGACAAAGCTGCCTTCTCTACTCTCAGAGATCTCAGTTTGCTTCATGTCTTTTGGGGCTTTATTGCTAGGTTCAAATATATTTCTAATTGTGATTTCCTCCAGATGGATTGACACTTTATCATTACAAAGTGTCCTTCTTTGTCTTTGGTAACAATTTTTGTCTCAAAGTTGGTTTTGTATGATGTGAGTGTAGCCACTTCAGCTCTCTTTTTATTGATGTTTGCATTGTATATATTTTACACCCTTTTAATTTCAATCTCGTTGTACCTTTAAATCTAAAGTGAGTCTCTTGGAAACAGCATATAGTTAGATTATGTTTTTTAAATCTGTTTTTCCGCTCTCTTAATTGGAAAGTTTAATTTATTTACATGTAATGTAATTAAGATTCGTCTGCTGCTTCGCTCTTTATTTTCTATACATCATATGTCTTTTTAAATCTTGTGTTTTTTCATTGCTGCCTTCTTTTATGTTAAATAGATATTTTCTAGTGTAACATTTTAATTCTCTTATTTCATTTACTATATAGTTTTGAATTTTTTCTTGGCGGTTGCCCTGGGGATTGCCATCAGTGTCTCAATTTATAACAATCTGTTTGTGCTAATAACAACCTAATTTCAAGTAAACAAAAATGTTGCTCTTTAGTGGTACTGTTTTCTCTTCCCTTCTGCTATGATTGTCACAAATTTCATCTTTATACGCTCTGCACCCATCAACATATATTTATAATTATTGTGAATTTGTCTTTTATTTAAACCAGAAAGAAAAAAATTACTAACAAAAAATAAAATCAATCTGTATTGCTTTACATCTAACTGCATGATTTCTCTTACTAGCACTCTTTATTTTTTCATGTTGATCCACATTACTATCTTGACCCTTTTCATTTCAGCCTGAAGGATTGCTTTTTTGCCGTTTTTTGTAGGGCAGGCTTGTTAAAGACAAACTCTCTTGTTAGAGATAAACTTCCTCAGTTTATCTAGAAATGTCTTAATTTATCCTTCATTTTTTGAAGGATAGTTTTGCCAGATATAGAATTTTTGATTGACAGCTTTTTTTTCTTTCAGTACTTTGTGCCATCCCACTGTTTCCAGCCTTCCTGGTTTCTGCTGAAACTTAGCTGTTAGTATGATTGAGAAACGCTTGCATTTGATGAATTGTTTCTCTCTTTGTGCTTTCAAAATTCTTTGTCTTTGGCTTTCAGTGGTTTGATTTTAATGTGCCCAGCTATTGATCTTTGTAAGTTTATCCCACTTGGAGTTTGTTGAGCTTCTTGAATGTATAGATTAATAGTTCTCATGAAATTGGGGGAGGTTTTGATGCTTATTTCTTCAAATATTCTTTCTACTTCTTTCTCTCCTTTCATTCTGGAATTCCCTTTATCTGTGTTTGTCATGCTTGATGGTGTCTCACAGGTTTCTGAGTCTCTGTTTATTATTGCTCATTATTTTTTCTTTATGTTCCTCAGATTGGGTAATCTCAATTGACTGATCTTTAGGCTCACTAGTTCTTTCTTCCGCCTGTTCAGATATGCTGTTGAGCCTGTCTAGTGAATTTTTCTTTTCCATTATTGTACTTTTCAACTCTGGAATTTCTGTCTGGTTCCTTATTATATTTTCTCTGTGTTAACTGATATTCTCTATTTGGTGAGACATTGTTCTCATACTTTAGTTATTTAGACACGATTTACTTTAGGTCTTTAAACATATTTAAAATAGCTTAAAGGCTCAAAGAGTTTACATTAGTAGCCATCTGCCCTGTGCACAAACCAAGTTCTGCTTGTCAGTCCCTGCCTTCTTCCTCACACTTCACACAACCAGCTAGGGATCTGGTCTTTTTCTTTAGCTTGACCTCTACCCTACTCTCCAAGGTTTCTCCTTTCTTCTGGATTGTAAGAGGGTGGAGGCTCTTTGGGTCTGAGAAAGCCTCTCCTCTTCCTGAGCTTCTAGTGCCCTTCTGGAGGTTATCTGCCCAAGGAGTTACCCACTCTCTTGGGGGAAGTGAAAGGAGGCCAGACATGCTCAGACAATCTTCCCTGTCCTTCCAAGAATTCAGTCATCCTGCAAAGCTTTACTCAAAAGGGATTGCGGGGGAAGACTGCAAATCAGGGCAAATCTGAAGCTTTTTTTTTTTTTTAAGCCAGCTTAATTACTTCAAAATAATGAAATTGTGGTACACATGGGTTTCCAAGTAGCCTGTTGCCACTGGTTGTGATCCAAGCCTGAGCTTGGCTTCTGGACTGGCCCTAGGATCACCGCCGCTTCTCCTCCTTTCCTCTGGGGCGCAGAAAGAAGCTGCACAAATTCCAACAAAGTTTAGTCAAAAGCCATAGGATTTTACTGTATTGGTTATTCTTTCCCTTCTTATCTGGCAGGGGAGAGGGTTAACAAGACACAATCACCTTCTAAACCTCCTTCCCCACTTCCTAACTCACTTGATGTTTCTATTAATAGGCATGTTAATTACTAACAACAGCAGTGACAAAGAACATCATGACTCCACCTTTTATACAATTCAGTGGAGCCGATTTAATCAAAGTGCCCTACTTAGGGAGAACATTGCTAGAAATGATGGGGATTGGGAAACCATATGTTGCTTGGCAGAGGACCTGAAATCAATGTAGAAACTGAGGAGCTTGGGCAGAGTATGTCATTTATCATTCTGGGGCGAGGGCTGAGTCAGGTCCAAGAACTGACCCTCTCTCAGAGCTGGGACTTCATCAAGGCTCTGGCTCTGGTTCAAAAGTGGTACTTGCAGGCCCTTGTCATAGCACCAGGAGACTCCTCTCCCAGCAATTGAGGACTCCTAGGACCGGTGAGGCCCATGCTATCATAGTGAATTATAAGTGGATCCATCTGACGTATAAAAATAAATACCACCCATAAACAACACTGCAGTGCTAAACAAAAATGCCTGAAGAACATAGAATAATAGGATTTTAAAAAATTATAAATAGAAATGAAAACTTTGGGAAACATGACTGAAACTGGGATTCATCGAGCATGTGTTGCACTAGGTCAAGGGCAGAGTGTCAGGGTGTGGCCCAACATCAGGTGCTTGGGCTCCCGAGGCCACTCTGCACTGAAGCAAATGGCACCATTCTGTATGGTGCTTATTCACACACACTGCCCACAGCGTCCTAATGAGTTAGAGGCACTGGACCGAGCACCCGAGGGCAGGAGCATTCATCCCTGCAGCCACGTGTTTGGTACAGTATCTGACAAATAACATCGGCCTTGTAGGGACAATGAAGAGCAGAGCATTCTTTCTCAGGTGCAAGGCCCACCCCCTGGTGAGCTGCTCCACTGGAGCCCCAAGTCCTAGAGGCTAGACAGCTGAGCCCCTGTGGCCTAGGTAGACCTTAGGGGTTTGCCTCACTGGTGCAAATGAGTTGCTGCTTCTTGCTTTTGAAACAAAATGTTGGCATGTTCCAGCTGCTGTGATTCAATTGCCTTTCAGACAGTGTGGTGCCCAACAAAGCATCTGTCTCAACAGCCCGCGGCCTCCCCAGCTGCCATGAGTACAATGCATTACCTGCAGGCAGCGCAGCAACTCAATTTGACTTGGACTCCACGCCTCTGCACAGAAGATGCTTCCCTGCCCTGTTCTCCTCCTTCCTGTTGCGAAAGCAGCCTTCCCGGTCCTTACCCAGCTGTGGCTCTCTCAAATGCTTCCTCTGTCCCCAAAGTCCCTCTCAGAGTAAGGACCTGCACACAAGTTGTGTGGGCCCTGGGCAAAACCTGGAACTGCTTGATGTTCTGAACCTGCTTTCAAATCTGCAAAATAGTGCTCTCTGCCTTACTCCATCACAGGCTAGTGTGAAGGTCAAAAGGGGACTCCTGGGAAAGAGCTTAGTCGGCTGAAAGGCTCTAAACAAATGATAGTTACTACATTGTCCTCTGTCTCCTCGTGCAAGAGACCGAAAGAAAACAATATATGTAAAAGAGAGAAAATTCCACACTTCTTGCTAACTGGAAAGGCTGAGGCTATGGTGAGAGCACCTCCCATTTCCCTGGGAAAGGAGAAATGTGGTGACTCATCCCTAATCCCAGCACTTTGGGAGGCCGAGGTGGGCAGATCACAAGGTCAAGAGATTGAGACCATCCCGGTCAACATAGTGAAACCCCGTCTCTACTAAAAATATAAAAAGTAGCAGAGCGTGGTGTCACATGCCTGTAGTCCCAGCTACTTGGGAGGCTGAGGCAGGGGAATTGCTTGAACCTGGGAGGTGGAGGTTGCGGTGAGCCGAGATTGCACCACTGCACTCCAGCCTGGGTAACAAGAGAGAAACTCCATCTCAAAAAAAAAAAAAAAAAAAAAAAAAAAAGCACACAAAAGCACAGTAGGTAGGTGTATGGATAATTCCCTGTCCAGTCAAGACTTCAGATAGCACATTCCTAATTGACCCACCTTTACATAGATTGTTTAGAAAACACTTCCACGTTGGGATAATGGCGAAGCTCTGGAGATGGATGGTGGTGATGAGTGGACACAATATTAAAAATATACTCAATGACATTGAATTCTGCATTATTAAATGGTTAAAATTGTAAATGTTATGCTATGTATATTTTACCACAATAAAAACTTTTAAGAAACACTGTACCAACATTTATGTTCTGTGAAGGAAGGAAGGATTCAATTCTCTTTGATCCCCAGCAACAGAAGCTGTAAGACACTCAGTGTTTGCCTTGGGTTATATTAAAAGATGAGAAAGCTAGAAAGGAAGGCAAGCTGACATACAGCCTTTGGGGAGGCTGTGTGTGCGGGGAGGGAATAGCTAGAAACACACAAGCATAAATTAATATGCCATACAGGCCGGGCACGGTGGCTCAAGCCTGTAATCCCAGCACTTTGGGAGGCCGAGGCGGGTGGATCACGAGGTCAAGAGATCGAGACCATCCTGGTCAACATGGTGAAACCCCGTCTCTACTAAAAATACAAAAAATTAGCTGGGCATGGTGGCGTGTGCATGTAATCCCAGGTACTTGGGAGGCTGAGGCAGGAGAATTGCCTGAACCCAGGAGGCGGAGGTTGCGGTGAGCCAAGATCGCGCCATTGCACTCCAGCCTGGGTAACAAGAGTGAAACTCCGTCTCAAAAAAAAAAAAAAAAAAAAAAAATGCTATACAAATGCCTCTGCCAGAACTCCTACCTCCCTTCCCCTGAGGGCCTCACCCCCCTCACCCGACTCTCAGCTCTGCGGTGGGAGGGTGCTCAGTGCTCCTGGACCCTCTACCCTTCCCCAGGAATACACTTCTCGGTGAATGTGGCCCCACCACCTGTAGACGAGCTTCTGGTTGACAGACCTTTGTATCCTGTATGCGACAGGAGGCTCTGGATCGCCAGGGTGTTGACAGCAACAGCAACAGAAACAAGTGGCAAAAGTCTTTTGTGGTTCCTGGAATTTTGTTGCACTGACTATAGCAGGAACTACATTAACACCAGAAACATGTTGGTTTTGCAGAGATTTATATTGTAATAATTTACGGTAAAGACTAGAAACGAGCATAAAAGGGTTGGTGTTGAAGCAGGAACCGGAGTGTGCGGTTCAGGGATAAAGAGCTGACTTTGGCTTTAAGCTTGTTCTGCGGGACTCAACAGGGCCGGATTGGAACTGGTGATGGCAGAGCGGAAGGATTTCAATTTCTCCCCAGGGAGGAGTTTATCTCCAAGGGTGCTGTCCAGCAACAAAACTGGCTGCTTCACACGATGATCTTTCTGAAGCTCTGCTCTTAAAATGCAGGTGAGAAATTAGACACAAAGGATTACAAGGCCCCTGTCTACACCCCACAGCCTTGGATCTGAGAGTGAAGTGAGCGGGTGTAGCACAGGGAGTCAGGATGGCCTCAGCTAGGAAGCTTTCCTGGCCCAAGAGGAAGGGGGTTGGGGGGGGACTAGTTCACTTCTCAAGTTCGGTTTCCTCCTTTAACCCATCTCTTCTTCACTTTCCTCCCTGCCCTACTTCTTCCCCCATTTCCCGCCATCCCTCCTCCTCCCTCTGCATCCCCATCAGGGAGGGGAAAGCACCTGGCTTGGCAGTCTCTCTAGCCCAGAGCGATTTGCTCTGCAGCTTCCCTGGCGAGGAGGGAGGTGCTGGATCCTAGCCAGAGCCCTGCCAGCTTCCCTATTGTGGCAAGTGAAATCATCAGCTTCACACTGTGGGTCTATTTAAATCAGCCTTTCATGTCTGATGGATTTAAAAATATGCTAGAAGTCGGCATCTTAAATACAAGAAACACAAACAAGCAGATGAAGCTGCATTTTTCCTTCCTCTGTGCCCTCCCTGCCACCCTCTCCCCTTCCTTCCCCTTCTCTCCTTCCCCCTCCCAAAGCAACTTTCATTCATAAGTCCCATCTCCCCTGCTCTCCCCTTCCCTCCAGCCCACTCAGTGGCACAGGAAGCCTGTAGTCTGAGCAGTGGCTGGGAGTACAGGAGTCTGGGTTCCCTCAACTCTGTCAGAGAGCAGTAAGTACCCCTAATCTCTGCTCTACCCCCCAGGGTGAATGCTGGGTGCCCTCACTCTGGCCAGTCCTCCCCTCATCCCTAACCCCAGCCAACAGGGACTTCTGCATTGACTAGTGTGTAGGAACAAGAGCCAGGCTGGCTGAAAACTGGCTCACTATGCTCCCTCCTCCAGTCCAGACAGGGAGACTGTGGCCCAGTCAGGAGAAGGGACACGCCTAGGGTCTGAGGTCAGTGAGCAGCCAAGCTGGTCCCTGGCCCATTGCCCTTGCTGTCCACAGCTGGCTCCACACAAGCCTCACAACATCTTCCCACCCAGTGCTGGGAAGGGGGTTCACTGCACACAGAACCCTACAATTCCAGTAATGTATCTGTGAGAGTTTCACAGCCTCCATCGCATCAGGGTTCCTAGTCTGTCCCCACATCACAAAGGAGGGGTATTCACTGGGAACCCATCTGGGGCTCTGATCTAACCCAGTCCTCGCCTGCTGTAAATGAAGCCACATCCCTTCTAATCCGTGAGCATCACCCCTTCGAGACTTAATAAGTGGCCCCTCCTTTCCTTCATCTCCTGGTAGGTGGCTGGCTCCCTGGCCAGCACTGCAGGCACTGGAATCAGGAGAGCAGCTCCCCAGACATGGCCTGCCCTGACCCGGCTGCACTGTGTCCCAGTCCACATGAGCCCAGCTGAGGGGCTAACTTGGGTTCTCAACCTTGGATGCAGGTTCGAATCACCTGTAGGGCTTTATTTTTGGTAGTTTATTTTATTTTACTTGTTTATAAATAGGTCAGATGCAGTGGCTCACGCTTGTAATTCCTGGCCCAGGTGGGAGGATCACTTGAGGCCAGGAGTTCAAGGCTGCAGTGAGCCATGATTGCACCACTACACTCCAGCCTGGGTGACAGAGTGAGATCCTGTCCCTAAAAATAATAATATCAACTCTTGCCCCCACTCCCAACGGCTGCTGGAAATTCTGATTTAATTAGAAGCTGGAAGAACTTTATTTTTCCATTGTTTAACCTCACTATTATGAGCAACAACAGTAATTGAATGCAATAACAGAAAGTGAAAAATCCCAGATGGTTGTGAGCATTTCCTGACCTTAGATCCGTCTTTGATGTCTCTTTCTTTTGGACCACACTGCCTGCACTCTCTGAATTTAAGAGAACGTTGATGACTTGCTTAGGCAGGTCATTAGTAAAGCAGAGGTCCTAGCAAGGTGCTGAGGACTCCTAGGGTCAGTGCTGATCATCTACACTCAGGAAGGAGGTGGACTCAGGGGTTATGCTGACTCATCCTGTGTCTGTGGGTGTACAACACACACACACATGCAGATGAAACCATGCACACCACCCATTCTGAGTTCGTCCCTTACTCTCTCCTCTTTAGTCCGACTGTTAATGGGCTGAAATTCTTTCCACCCGAGTTTGAATATGTGCTGAGGTGCCGTGCAATACCCTATGCCCTTAGACCATGAAAAGAAAGAAATTAAGGAGCTCCAAGTTGCTGAAGGATCTATAGCAGCAAACAGGTGGAAAACAATGAGAGAGCGGCGATGGGGAATGCAGGATGAACATCCCTAATTGGAAAATCCATAATCCTCCAGAATCGGAAACGTTTTGAGTGCTGGCATGATGCCATAGGGTGCAAATTCCACACCTGGCCTCATGTGATGAGCCACAGTCAAAACACAGCCAAAACTTTGTTTCATGCACAAAATTGTACAACTAGATCAAATCGCCTCCAGGCTATGTGTGTAAGGCGTACAGGAAACAGAAGCAAATTTTGTTTGTAGACTCACATCCCATCCCCAAGATGTCTCATTATGTGTATGCAAATATTCCAAAATGGAGAAAAGAAATCCAAAATCTAAAACAATTCCCGTCCCAAGCATTTTAGATCAGGAATATTCACGCTGTGATGGACATTGAGAATTGAGTGGGACTCAGTTGCCTCCAGGTGGGGATGAGGGTTGGGGGGACTCCTAGTTCCAACAAAAGGGTTCACAATTGGTGGGAGGAAATAACAGAAGGAAATCAGGGAAGCGGGAGAGTGGAAGTGATGGGGCCCAGGCGTATATGGCCAGGACGGTGCATAGGATGAGGACTCGGCAGGTGGGAGACAGAGCTGGGTCTTTGAGAGTGAAGGGGAGATGGGAGACCAGAGCCAGAGAGCCTCCCCTGAGCAAGCAGGAGTTTCAGTATCAGTCTGGAGGTCACAAGGAGCCACCGGGGGTATGGGCGGTTTAAACATGGGAGCGACAGGAGCGGATTTGCAGTTGTGCCTGAAGAAAGAGGAGTGGAAGGATGGGTCAGGATGGAAGGCCAGAGACACTTCGAGCATCACCCTCCGACCAGCTTCCTTAGGCCGGCACAGAGCAGTGGGCGTGGCCAGGCTGCGTGAGAATGGAGGTAAAGCAAGAAACTGCATAAGCAACAATCTCAGCTCTAATGCGTTACATGTCTGTCTACCAGCCCCGTCATGTCTTTAACCTCACTCTTCCCACAGTCCAGCGTGCTTTCAGGCTACCCTATTGTACTTCCCCATCCCACGCTTCAAGTCACTAAGTCTCAAACACTCAGTTTTTAAAACTTAAATCCAAACAGCCTCAGATTTCTGAAAAGGGGATTTCTCAGGATGAAGTGAGGGCATGGGGATTACACACTACAAGCTTCAAGTCAAATTAAATTTTCAGATTAGTCATTACTGGAAATTCTCCAGGCCGTAGTGTTCTCCATGAATGTGAATGTTCAAAGGCAGCCGTGGCTTGTGGACTGAGAGGAAATAACACAAAAAGCTATGTGTGTACAGCCCTGTAGAGTTCCCAAGTCACTTCTGCAGCATGTCCTGTAGAAACAGACCCAGGGAGAC